TATTTCTTCAGGGTCATAAATTAATTTGACATTAGATTTCATTTATTTTGGAATGTTTGATGTGTCTTTACACAGAGTTCTTATATATGACCAGAAGTGCTTGATATTATTAGAAATAAGGTGTTCCATGTTAGAAGCAAAGGTAAGATAACATAAACTAGTGTTAGAAATCCATGAGAAAATTATCAACATCTCATTTTTTATATGTATAGTCAACGATAATTTTGTTAGAAAGGTGGTACCTCCGGGGTGATCTCATATACATTAAAATTTGGTAACAATATGATTCGAGATCTATAAGAAAATCAACAAACTCAATTTGTGATGGCATCTGCACTACTTTGGAGTCGGCTTTTTAAAATTTTTAAATTTATAAATTATTTCAGTTTTTTTTTATTTTTTTTATTAGTAATTTTGTTAAAAATATTACTTTAGTTGAGATCGTAAGAATGTGTTTTGATCGTGAATTTGAGTAGTAGGCTTTGATTTATGATAAAAGACACAAATATCGATGTGTCAGTTAGTGATAATTTATCAGAGTTAGTAGTATTATTGGAAAATGCCGCAACATAAAGAATTTTTTAATTTAGAAGCTGGAATTTTCGTTCAAGAACGCGTTAAGCCAACCAATTTTGGTCAAGTAATATACGGTTTATAATTATGGAGTTTAGAGTTTAACTTCGGTTGTATGATTCGATTTAAGTTAGAGTTCAACTTGGACCCGATTTTGACATTATAATATTTATAATTATTATGACGATTGTCAAAATAAATACCTGAACTCGTGCTTTACAACTGGACCTAAGCAAGAATAGTGACATTTTTGTCACATTTAATTTGAATTTCTTTTCTATTCTTTTATTTCTATTTACTTAGTTCCTATTTTTCATACCTACTTATTTTTATTTTACAGGCGGTATTGAACTTTAGTATATGTATATCCATTCCACGTATGCGTGACTGTGGTATTTAATTTGAGATGGGAATCCATAGAATAATTGAAATCCTACGACTTTAGTTCCTGCTTCCTTTTCTTATTGTTAAGGCTAAGGCTGCATTTCTGAAGGCATAAGACGACTTCGTTCAGTTTATTCAGTTTATTATTACATTTTTTAGATACAAACAACTTGAAATGCTGAAATAATTCAAAATAACAATAACTGTTTGTTATAATTAGATTTTTTGGCACTATGTTAATAGAATTGATTATCACAAATGAAAATATATATAAAAACAAACAAATAAGAAGCTAAAATATTTATTGTGATAAAATGTTAAACGGTTTTTAGAAGGTCCCATAAGTCGAGAAAAAAAACATTAAAAAATTTTTTTCTATTTCCATTTATGGAAAAAAACAGCGAAGGACGGTATGATAAAGGACTACTATTAGAAAAATAAATAAAGATTTAAAAATATTTTTATATATTTTACAAAATGCTTCGCAAAATACTTAAAACTCAAACTTAAAAATTAATTAGTATGATAGGCCACAAAACAGTTTTTTGGATGAAGACCAACGTCACATTTTTGGCACACAAAATTTGCTTTTTTGTGGCACACAGCACATTTTTGCTGACTCTCGTGATATGTAACTAAATGATCTAATCTATCGTAACGTGAGAATTGGTGCGCGGTTTTTGGCAATTTCGAAGGTCCTTTCTTAGTTGTTTTCCTGTACGTCTCGAGCAGCTGAGTCCCTAGGTCCCTCCTAAACTGAAGTTGGTCTAGGGTACCACCATCATTCCTATGGAGGTGCCACGAGTTTTGTGAGGCCATGTCGACACAGTGGGAAAATAGCGGAAAATACCACTTTTTACCTCGTATTGAAACTCTATATTGTCTTATGTTTTGGTCATTACGGTCTACACCTCCCATATTTTCGTTGTACGCCTTGATCAATTGTGGCTGATCTATATAAACATGCTTTTTTTAGCCTGTGAAAATCGTTTGACCTTATTTACTGGCAAAACTAAACATGCATTGGTGGCTAAAGTAACAACGCTGTTTTCATTCCATTTACATAAAGCGATTTCATTATCGGCAACACCTCATTCAAATGTACCTCGTGCCTTTTTCTTCAGAACTTTAGCATTGCTAAATGGAGATTGAGGAACCGGTTTTCACGTATAGTACCAGTTGCCTTGATGTTCCTTAATTTTAGCTCCTTTAGAAGTGACAAAGACGTAAAAAAATTGTCAAAAAATAAGTGAAAGGGCTGGTAAGGCATTTTCTGTAAAACATCTGCATATTGGAGAACAACTGACGCTCCCAAACCCATGTGTTTATATTTGTCCGGAATTGTTGTCGACGCACCTTGGTAGGGATCAAAATAAACAATGTATCCAAGGCGTAGGGTACCTACCCAAAATTTGTACCCCCACCTTATAGGCTTGTCTCTAATAAATTGCTTACCGCTATGTCTCCCAAAATACGGTATCATAGCCTCATCAAAGCTGTGATTCTCTTCAACTGGGGCATAATCAAAAAACTTTTTATTTAGGCTGTTGAAAAGAGAACGCAATTTAGAGTACTTGTCATTTTTATCAAGGGCAGTATTATCATTGCAATGAAGATTACTCATTATGAATTGAAATCTATCTCTGGAAATAGCGGCTGATATAAGTTTATTCTGGGTATCGTTGCAATTTTGCCAATACATATGTCGCCTTGGAACAGTTGTATATCCACTGACAAGTAACATCCCTATGAAGCAATACATCTCGTCTACAGTAACGTTGCCGGGGCGGTTTTTTTGTTGTGCATAAATATTGGTAAAATTGACAATTTCTCCTACCAAGTTTTCATCAAAAAACAGCTTGAAAATATTTCCAAGGGAACGATTGCTTTGTGCAGTTTGAACTGGTTGCCATTGTATAAACGTAGAATCTAAATCTTCATTGAGAGTATAGTCAAACGTCTTTATGTGTTTAGGTCGCCTTTCAACAAAAGTGGACAGTGGTAGATCCTCATCACTGTCCCCGTCGTCATCACCTTCCACGTCAAATTCGATTTCCGCCGAGGCCCTTAGTTGCACTCCGGGTAAATTATTTGGATCTACATCATCTTCAGTCCCAGAATCTTCATCGGTATCGCAGTTTTCGTTGGCATTTTCGGGTGGAAAAATTGTAATTCCTGTAAGAATGTCCGGCGTAGAGTCATTCTCCAATTTTTCTAAGAGTTGTGCCATGATTAGTGGCTTTTTCCAATGCCTGTAAAAAAACGCTTATAGTAGCATATAATACTACCGTCCTTTTAAAAGGACTCGTTAAATTGAACGCCCCTGGAATAATCGAGAAGTGTGAAACATAACCACAAATATAAAAAAAGGTAAGTATATAATGTTATTTGTTAAAAATAATCAAAACAGCAACGAAAAAATAAACGAGGTTTAACATAACTTACCTTGAGTCACTCATTGCAAAATCACTATCAACACATTGTCTTTTAACCGTCACTATCGATCCAAAACTTAACAAAACCCTAACGATGGCGATTGATCTTGTTTAAGATGTCAACTAAATATAACGTGACACTGGCGACATCTTCAAACCGTCAGCTGAATTAGAAAAATATAGGTTTCTTTTTGAAGTCCTTTTAAAAGGACGGTAGGCGTAAATGGGTTAAATATAAAAACAATATATCAATACTAAATATTTATTATTAATTTATATTTTTGTAATTTTTTTAATCCAATCCAATACATGTTATGTCAATACTTTTAATATTTGGTTAACAAGCTAATTCAGCAATAGAAAATCTTCAATTGTAACTTGTAGCTAGCACAGACACGTGATTTTCACGTGAAATACACGTCACATTGTACGTCGAAATCACCAAATTTATGATGTGCTGATGTCAATACTTTTAATATTTGGTTAACAAGCTAATTCAGCAATAGAAAATCTTCAATTCTAAATCATCTATACATACCCAGCTAGCACAGACACGTGATTTTCACGTGAAATACACGTCACATTGTACGTCGAAATCACCAAATTTATGACGTGTTGGTGACGTGATTATGACGGCAATATGTCACAGATCAAAGACGTCATACATCGACGTGATAAATATGTCACCAGATAACGTGTTTAGATGTCAAAAGAAACACCATAATACTTATTTAAAAATGCTTAATTTATAAAGAAAATGTTTATAAAAAAACGTTTATAAAATATTTCTTCTTTATATGCTGTTCTTTGTAATGCATAAGTGCTCTCAACCTCTTCTAAATCCTCCCATTCCTCAAGCTCCTCTGCTAAAAAAAATAAATGAGACACTTCAATACTAACGTTTTAATTATAATTTCTTTAAGACGATTAATGGACAAATTGTGTGACCATTTTCTGGGGAACTTTGAAACGCAATTTTAAGGACCGATTCCACCGTTGTGTTAAACGGAGATTAAAATGACATTGTTAATGTAAAAATGTCATTTTAAACTTCTTTTAACACAACGGTGTAATTGGCCCTTAACACCACTAAAAGCTTTCCATATACAATCCTTGAAGATTGTCTGTCTTTTATAATTGATTTATTTCGTTTTACCACTAAAATAACTAAAAATAATTAATAAAATATCTTAATACTATTTGCGTGAAACCAGAATGAAATTCTGTAAAATAATACATAAATGTTTTGTTAAAAGAATTTCAAAATTGTTCTCAATCAGTCCAGAGTTTTAAACATATTTGTGTATAAACAAAAATTACCGCCAATATCTAAACGTCAACTGTCAAGATAATTATTAGTTTCGTGACTAAAAGACGCCACTTCTGCAATTTACATGTCTGTTCCCGGGTGTATTTTACTGTAGTCTCTTTAAACATTACATACCTGACTTTATTTTCCAATTTTATCTATTTTAAGGGACAAAAATTTGGCCCTTTAACCGTCACCGGCTTAATTATATACCTACTACTTCCGATTGATTAATTAATAAATACAAGAGATAATCTTTTGTAATTAACCTGCTGATATTTTTGTTTTGTTTGTTTCAGATCATGTGACAGAAATCGACAATCGGACATGCCAGAGGCAGACAGTCCCCTAGGACACTGGCCTCATAGTCTTAGCTCGATGATGGCATGTTTGGGTTGCACGCTGGGCCTCTTTAACATCTCTCGTTTCTCCATTCTCACCGTTCACTTCGGAGCTAATTTCATCTTCCAGTTCTGCTTATTATCCCTCGTATTCGGATTGCCGCTCTTCACTTTGCAGCTGTGCCTAGGACAGCAGCTGGGCTCTGGAGTGATTGATATGTGGAGGATATCCCCTTTGTTTCAAGGAGTGGGAGTATCGCTGCTGATAGCCCAGGCGTTGATGGGCCTATATAGTATTATTGGCGTATCGTGGATGTTCGTGTTTTTTCGGGATTCGTTCATTACAAAGGTGGATAGGTACAGATGGGCGGAGCCTTTTATTAACTATAGAAGGGGTAAGTAAAATTTTTACTTTATTAGTTAATTTAAAATGATAAATACCTATCCATTTATAGCTTAAACTGAGACTTAAACTGATTTAAAATACCACGGTTATTAGATAACAGGTATTAGATATACATTTCTATATTATATTATTATCCAAACTTTGCGACTGTATTAGAACACGATAATATTATATTTCGCAACAAGTATAGTAAGCAACCTATTCTGCATGATGTGTGATTTAATCATTGAGATAGAATAAAGAGGAGATGTTATGACGATGCTAAATTGTCCGCACCTTTGTATTACATTTTTACGTCAATGTCAAATTCGAGATAGTGTAGCTGGTCCGTTTTAGTGAGAATGAATGCCATTTTTCGTAAAATTGCTTCATATAAATGATATAAAACTATTTTCATTCCGTCAGTTTTTAAATATAAAATTATTGACTTCAAATAAATCAAAGTACGACTCAAGTCGCCATTTTGATTACACTTTCCGTCACTTGAAATGCGTCCATTTTGTCATATCGCAAAATAGTATTTATGTCGTCTCTACTTTATTCTATCTCGATGGATCTAATCGACCATAATGACTAATACAAAGTATTTTTACGACAAGACGGCAATGACGTAACATGATAAAAACCTAAGAAGTTGTCAGGTCAGGTGACGTAAAGATATCATTATAAAAGTGTTTTTTTCTTTTTTCCTAGCTTAAATATAAGTACATCTAATGAGCTATCAACTTTAAAGTGATATTAATTAAGTTATAACTTGAATGTAGATTGGAATGGATGTAAAAAAACTGCTGGTCTTTAGAACAATAAAATCTTACTATCAAGCATTTTCTATAGTAAGAAAAGTGTTTTAAAATTCAAATAAAAATTAATAGTTATGTAGTTCTGTAATTTTTATTGTAATATACGAAATCATACTAATTTAAAAATATTCATATAGCTGATTTTTATAGAATGCTCACTGATCTTCTAGGAAATCTACACTCGTCCAAATTAATAATAAGTGGAGGCACATCTTCTCTATCAAATACTTAGCCAAATATCAGGACTTGCTTTTTCTAAAGCTGTTTTCTATGTAGCTAGTGTTTTTTCTGCTGAAGTACCATTGTTTCCCACATTATTGCTATAATAATTTTTAGTGATGCTCCAAATATGTTCAATAGAGTTAAATATACAGTGATAAGGCGGTAGTCGAAGTACCTTATGTTCATGTTTTTCTGCTAACATATCAGCTTGATATACTTCTGGTGGTGTATTTCTACAAATGATAATTTTTTTTCCTACGACCACTTAGGAAAGTTACACATATCACACTATATAGTCCTATGGAAAGTGCCCTATATCACGCGCGTATGAATAAGAATTTACTTTCCACCCGAGTGAGAATAGGTTACTTTCCGCAGTAGTTGTCACAAAATGTCAAACACCTAATTTCTATTTTGATCTATGTAATGTCCATATTAATATTAAAATCGATATGATTGTTAAATTATTGAAATCGTTGTAAATTAGATCTTAGATATTTATCTTTAACAATTATTATTAAAATAATTTTAAAATAATGTTTGCTCTTTATTCTGGTTAAATACATAACCGATTAGATCATTTAATTGACACAAGGGCTATTAGCTTAGGTGGTTAGGACATCGAACTTATCAACTTTGCCATTTTTCGACCGCGTTCGAATCCTGGCGGGGCAGAATTTTTTTTTTTGTTTTTTTTTATTTTTTTTTTTAGTTTTTTTTTGTTTAGAAAATATGAAAATTGAATAAATACGATTATTGTTGATTATTTTTTTAAATACATTTTAATTATTATAGTAATAATAACCTTGGTTTTACATTTTTTTGATGACATTATTTTGTGGTCGTAGGAAAAATATTGTACATCACTTGTGTGAAAAGTGGTTTTCCACACTCGTAATGTAATATACTATATTTTTGAGCACACGTTATATTTTCTGCTGTTACGTCAGTAAATGATTTATTAACAGCTATAAAATGTTTTGGAAAAGTAGAGTTTTTCTCAATTTCTTTTTGAACTTTATTACTTTTATGATTTAAATTCTAATATGGATTAGTTTAGTATTAACATAATATGTACATTTAGAAATTTTTAATAAAACGTTTTCCAATGGAAAATTTAAATACATAACCATTATTGGATCCAGCAAAGCTTTTTTACGTAGTCATTGCCTTTTAATATATACAGAGTGGCCCAAAAGTCTGGAAACGGCCAATTATCTCGTAAATTGCTAGTCCTAATTGTACAAAATTTGGGATACACCTATTTTGGGATACGGAGATTCCAGATTTGATATTTCCAATTTTGCCAGATTTCCCATTTCTCTTATATTATTAGTCACTTTGGTTTTTCAAATTCATCACCCTGTATATTCATTATTGGAATCTCCTATTCAATACGAGTTCAACCATATGTAACACTTTTAATTTTATGTAGTCTGGAAGGTCTTAAATAAATAAAACAGAAGTCTGGCAACGCCTAATTGTCTCAATAATTTTTTTTATAAAAACTATTTTCAACTACATTAAAACGTAACAATTGAAAGATTACAACATTTATCTACTCCTATTAATTTATATATTAATTATTCAACTGCTTTTGAGCAATTAATAGTATCAATAAACAAATAGCGTGAGTTTTAATAGTGAGTTATTATAACTCACGCTGGGCTCCTACGATAATTCGGTATATAAATAGTGTGCGCAGTAAATTCTTGGAAATTTTATAAATGTTCCATTGGCGTAAAATTTTAGAAAGATTGTTTAACAACTGGAAAGGAATGAATAATAATTAAGAGATTTTAAAATTTTTAAATTGTCAACACCTTTCAGTAGGCGCAACAGTCAATTATTACATTGAGGGGAGTAATGTCATTTGATATTTTAACTAGATAATTTTGACGTTTTCAAATCAATTTTTAATAATAGTGCTAAAAAAAGATGAATTTAGATAGTGAAGATGAGTTATTATGTACACCTCCAGAAATAAGAGAGATAGCTAATAATGCAATACATAATTTATTACCAGAAAAATCAAAAAACAAGTATAAAGGTGTATACTAAAATTTTCAAGATTGGTGTAACTCGTTTACATAAAATGTACCTTCGGCATATTTTAATAAACTTAGCAATAAATATAAAGCATCGTCTCTATTAGGCATTCCAACGACCTGTCCAAATGGCTACCAGTGGGGACTGACAGTTTAGATATGGCAACCATGTTGTCATGTTGTCATTAACAGGGTCAATGATATAGATATGATTATATAGATTGCTCAAAGCTGGTCGTTTGCGAGCGGCCATATTGCCTGGAAAATATTTATTAATTTGAAACGGTTTAGCAAATATGTGTTTTAAAACCAATTTTCAACCTTTAGATATTTAAAAGAAAATAATTGCTTACATTTTTACTTCAAAACATAAGATTATGTTTATTTTGAAAAATATGGATGATCAATCTATGTAACTATCTATTTCATTGACCTTGTCAAATCACCAGGCCTACAGGGTTGCCATAATTTTGCCATATCATAACCTGTCAAAACCCACTTACTTTACTTATATTAAAAATAAAAATTCATCATATTCAGTGCCGGCGGAAGGAACATATTTAGATCGTGCAAGCACCCTGACAGGCGCTCCTATAAGTTAGGGTGACCATATCTCTTCTGACCTAACGCGACAAGTAATGACTCTTTTTGTTTTGTTTTTAGTCCCGTAACCGAAATTCTTTTTGTTGGACGCGTAGTTTAGTTTAGCTAAAGTCTTAATTTTGGTCGATCGTGTGCCCCTTGCCCTTCTGCCGGCTCTGATCATATTTAACTGTCAACAATAAGATTATTTATAATTTATATATACCATATTCCTTTTCAGAAATAGAGCCCGAAAATGGTACTTTCCAGCTCAGCGAAACCCTGCCTGACTATTTTAATGGCGTGGTACTGCAAAGGCATCACTTACCATCTGGAAACAGCTATGGTACCGTCAAATTTCAATTGGCCTTTAATCTGGCCGTCGTTTGGATGATTGTCTTCGTGTCATTGAGCAAAGGGTTGAGATCTTATGGGAAAGTCATCTACGCTTTTACGTTGCTACCAGTGTTCGGAACCTTCATTTTATGTGCCAAAATTTTAGGCTTAATGCCCCCGGAGTTCGTCAATGTCATTTTTCCTGAGACTTCATGGGGTGAATTTTTTCTTAATCCCAAGGTAAGAAATACGTAAAAAATATGTTTTAATATTATATTCACAATACATATAAAGACAGGTTTTGTCTTTTTTTTGACCCAACAATTTAAAATTATCTTATAATAATGTAATATCAAAAAAATTATCAAAAAAAAAGAAACGCTTACCTAGAGCAATTGAATTCGGTATTGTAAATAAATGACAAATTGAATAAAAAAGTATTAAATTCAAAATATTATTAAAGATAAACAAAACTCAATGTTTGATAATCAGTACATCAAAAATTGATTTCGTTTAAAAAATTGCCATCTTCAGACAGATCATATTTTTTAATAAAATTGTAAAAATGCAATGTCATGCAATATAAAACAAAATGATAAACACTAAAGGTTTAACAATTGTAAAGTAAGGTGTAGACAAAGTAGGCCAGTTATTAAAGATAATCAATTCACATTAATTACAAAAGTTTTTAAACTTTGTTGGAATATTTCCTAAATTCAAGTAATAAATTTAATTTTGCAACTGTATCAAGGTCCGACACATAATAATAATAATTGCAAAATTTTAAATTTTTTTATGACTTGCAAACTTTAACTAATATCAGTTTGGATGTTTTCAATATGACATCAAATTTGCAACTTTTTTGAAAGTTCGTAAGATGATTTATATCATATTTCAAAAAATTGCAAAAGTGCTGCAAACTGATGACATAACTCATACACATTTTTGGAACAGCTATTCCAATTTGCAACCTTTTATTTAGCACTTTTCTGTCACTTTTAATAACGTCGGTAAACCTTATTTTCAGAGTTGGTTAGCTGCCAGTCAAGAAGTTTTCCTAACTTGGGGCCTCCTAGGCGCAGCAGTTATGCAAATAGCATCACACAACAGACACAAACATTTACTTCAAAGAGATTCTAGTCTTGTAGCTGTTATAACTTTAACTATTCTATTATTAGTTGCTTTTTTGGCAAATACGTGTGTTCAAATACTCAAAGCTTATGGATACAGTTATTTACCTGATTCATTTGGTAAGTACCTAAACTTTTTAACAATTTACTATAAGTACTACCGTAAAGAATTGTTTATGTTTACGATAGTTACCAACGACGCAAAAATACAAGACTAATTTTACAAACATTGATTTGAAAATGTTCATGGTGTCATCCACGTAGATGTCAAATTATTATGAGAGAGTATTGTTACAAGAATTGTTTATGGTTATAATTAGGTTTTAAAGCCTATTAAGCACACAAAAGGTTTTTAAAATTACATTCTTAATGCCATTTATTATAAGTTGAATATACGTTTTCTCGTTGCCACTATTATAGTGGTATAGTGTTTTTCAGGAAAGTACGCAATTAATTTTGACGTGTGACAGCAGCGTAAAGCAAGCATATTATATGTAAATAATGGTTCATTCATAAAATGTATGCTCGCTCCTCAGATAAACATATTCGCCCAAACCATCACCACTCAAATTAGCAGCTGTCTTTTTCTTTCTAAGGCGGCAGCCGATACGACAGCTCTGTCTGTGTAATAATAAACATAATCCGAATGATTGCAATCAAAAAAGGCTTAACTATGAATGAATGGATGTCTAGTAGTTTTTATTGTTGTTAATAGTTACTGATTATGTATTTATGAGACCTCTATTTGCTGTAGTTTATCAGTTAATTAATGCCATTACTACAACTAATGTAACTTTTAACCTATATTATTTGTTTTTTGTTGCTTTAAACTATAATTTGAATTGTTGTCCTTTAAATATCTTTCTCACACGGAAAAATGTAAAAAAACTGATCGTAAATTTTATGTGCAAAATTTAGGTTTTTAGCTTAAAATATTATAGATAAAAACTATACATTTTTGATATATTGCTTATACTTATCAATAAAGGATATAATGAGTGTTTTTTGTTTACCTGACTTCTTTAAAAATGGATAAAAACAATATAATTTTATGGAAATACCAATTTAATTCCTAATATCTTTTTATCATATTTAAAAAGAGAAAGGTTATAGTGAAAGATACTATGAAATTTTTCTATTGATTTTAACTTACACCAATATTTGTTCACGATTTTTTTTATTATTTTACAACCTCATTTACAATTATTCCATTATATTATTGATATAGGTGAAGTTGTGAAATAGTAAAAAAAATATTCATTGATTTAATTAAAGATCAATGAAAAAATTTCATTGTTGTTCACTACAACCTTCCTTCTGCGGCCTATAGGGGAAGGTAGGCAGATATCAGCCACCCTAGTTTATTTTCTAAATTTTGGGTTAGGAGCTAGGATAATTTTTTGTACGTCATCAATGACGTTGGTCTTTTGTCGAAGTACTACCAACTAAGTCAAATGTCCTTAAGTAAGCTAATAATCCGAAAATGTCACTAATATTCACGAGCATTCATGAACGTAGTCTAGAGTTGGGTCGGATACAGGAAAAAAGTATCCGAGTACCAGATACGGATACTTACAATGTATCCGGATACTTTTTAGGATACTTTCACCTAAAAAGTACTCGGATACAAGTATCCGGATACTTTTTTCGGATACTTTAAAGGATACTTTTAAAGTGAGTTAAAATAATGTTTTCATATCAATAGTTATAATTACGCAATAAGATTAATTACGAGTAACAATAAACAATACTAGGCATAAATAAATTATCGAAAATGGAAAGCGATATAATAGAAACAGGAAAAAACTACTCAATAAATTATTTATTATTTTTGTTTTGTAAATATAAAATATTAAAACAAAATGAACAATAAAACATAAAGGTGCGTGTAAATAAAAGGAGTCGCGCCTGAACCACGCCAAAAACCAGGCAGTGTAGTGTCCATAAAATCTTAACGAAATAAGCTCGTTGTTAGCTCGACTTGCCATGTTTATACAACCTTTCGATATTCTCGTCAGTGTCAGGTGTATTCGACAATCCATTTTTTGTGGATCCTCCGACGAGGGGTACTTGGTAGAGTCGAGAGCGTTGAAAGGAGGAGGAGAGAGAGATTGCTGAATGTCAGATCTGTATACTTTATATATGCTGATGATGGCATAAATAACACATGATCAATAACATTATGAGCAACAACGTCATACATGTATTTTCTCGACTACATTTTAAAAACTAATAATGTAATTAGATATTTTACAAAACAAAAAATTCGAGGTACCTATACACCTAATTACCTTTGCGTATAGTTAAGCACTAAAACTGATACAGAAAGTTTAGTTATATTGCACAATATAAAAACACAAGAACAACCGTCTCTTGTTTTTGCCAACTGAAACATAACTGGGCTAATGGAACCTCCACAAGTTCGTGACGCTAACACCGGACAAGGGTTTGCAGGATTTTTCCTGTAAAACCATGACGCAAGATGCTGAATCCCGACCGTCTGTATACTGGGTGAATCGTCGAATTTGAAAAGTATCCGGATACAGCTTTCGGATACACATAAAGTATCCGGATACAGAAGTACCCGGATACTACCCAACTCTGGTGGAAAGTCAAATTTTTCACACAAGTGGAAAATATTATCGCACTTAGGCCGAGTGTGTGAAAAATCACTTTCACACAAGTGATGTACAATATTTTTTCTACGACCACAACATAGTTTTATCAAAAAAAAATTAAAAAACAACGATATCTAGCTACAAAGATTCAATCAAGATGTGACTGGTTTTAGATTTTTTTATATGCCTTATTGAATCATTTTTAAGTGTTTTATAGTTGGTGTTTTATCGAAATTAAAAACATTGTGATTCCATTTACAAACACTTTCATATGAAGATAACAGTAAAATAACCTTAGGTTCAAAATACCTACAATAATGTTTTTCATTAGGTTTTTTTTTATACAAAAAATAATAAGACGAACAACCGTGAACAAGAACTTTTTTATTATTAAAGATGATTACCTTCTTAACTACTTATAATTTTTATCTGAATAGAAATCAAAATATTAGAAAATAAATAGCTGAAATAATAACTGTAGATACAAAAGTATTTAAAATAATTAAACGATGATAGTCAAAATGTTTCAATGTTCACATTCTTGTAAAATTAAGAATGAAAAACTATTGCTTCTACTTGGAATTGAACCCGCGTCGCGACATGGTAGCGAAGTTGACAAAGTTGAATACCCTATGAACTGAGCAACTAACTTATATCACATGAATTATCTAATCAAATATTATTAACCAGAAAAAAAAAAACAAAAATAATTTAGGAACTTCCAAATTATTTTATTAATTTGTTAATAAAAATAAATCTAGGTATAGAAATCAATAACAGAAGCAGTGTTTCCCAATCCACCATTGCATATGCGAAACGCGACGTTTTAAGCGGTGATTTTAAACAATTATCGGTGGTCTCTCTATAATAGCTATCCACCATTCATTCCGAAAATGTTTTGGTATAGTATACAATAAACCATAAACAAATTATTTATTAACAAGACAAATATTTGCGAAAAGTTTCACATGAAAAGTTACTACTTCTTTATATCTTCTACCGTAACCTTGCACCGACCCTGTCTTGTCAAAAGTGCCAACTTAAAACTCAGTTATCATGGCGCACATCATATAGGGGATTAAAATTTGTTTTCGATGCTTTATCTACGATTTCTGAGATCTATGTACTGTCTCAATATCACTCTTAAGAACATACGAATCATGTTGAGTTAGTATGAGTCCCTAGACATAGAAACGTTGCGTATAAAAAAGAAGTTGATAAGTTTGACAGATAGAGCTCGATCTTTCCTTTTACAGGACTTGGCCACACAGTACTTCTTCAAAACTACGTGATAGGTTACATTAATCAGAGGAACAGATTTGGAAGAATGATTTAATAACTGGGTTGTATCAATCCAAACTCCCTATTAAACCCCCTTACCGCATACTGTTCCATATATTACTAAATTAACTTTTTTGGCCCATAGATCGACACTAATCCGACATAATCATCGTTCTGTCAAAGAGTAAAAACAACAAGAGGTAGTCAGAGCGAGTGTATAAATCTAATAGAAATAGTGCTACACTACATTCACATTACTACAAGTAACTTTGATTTTGTTTGTCTACATTTTCTGTAACATTCAGTTTATTTTTCTTTCCCTCGGTTTGCGGGTACCATCTTCAATTACCTACAATAACAGAAACATTAGTAAAAAGTATGCGTTAAAATTTTCTGCTATAATCCGAAATCTTTATGATGCAATAATATGGTAATAGGTATATTTAAATTAGCAGCACTGTGGTATTAGTTGTTTTTTAAAAAACAGATCTAATGGCGTTGTCTGTTTATACAAGACAACGATGATGGTAAGGGTCTTATTAAAATATTCTAGAATTGTTCATTTTAGTGTCAGGTAGTTTTATAAAGAGTTGAATAGCCATGTCATTATCCTCAAGTTTCAAAGGTTCACTAACACGGATAAACACGGGCAATTATCATAACCAATGAAGGCTAAATTAGAAATTAGTATTTTACAACAACAAACATGCATGAATTAATTTTTTAAATAAAATAATCGTTATACAGTCGGTTAATGTGTACGAAAATCCTCTCTTTACCTGCTTCGGAAAAGTTTCTGATAATCCCACATGTATGGTCGGTGCAATGCCTTACTTTGTTAGAGTCACATTATTTTTACTATTGATTTATTTATACCTATAATATATATTATTTTCTCCACGGCCAGTACTGAATGTAGTTCTTCAAAAACCACTTATAATAACAAAAAGAGAACATTCTCGCCCTTAAGATTAAAAAAAAAATTCTAAAACACTTGCTTGTTATGTATTTTACACCTATTTCATTCTAACTCTAATGACAGAATATTCATTAGTGGCCAATGGCTGTGAATACTACTCCCGCATCTCAGATAGTCATGAATTTCATGGCCGACATATCTACGCAACGTATTAGTATTCTTTGAATTTGCCTGAATGTGGAGTTTGGGCAGTCGAACTTAAATTCAAAAATTGGTGAATATAAAGATTCTTGTATGGAATTTGATAATATTCCTCCTGAACGGACAAATTATACGAATAATTTAAATAAAAACTTGCCTAACATAAGTTGGATAAAATATTTCATTTTGTCCAAAGTTTCATTTTATTATATTCAACTCCTACTGTATCTGTGGCCATGAAGAAAGTACAGTCTGTTACTCTGTAGGAATGAAAATCCAATACTCGTGGTTCTTCACGCTCGCTTACGCTCGCGTTCGGAATCTTTCACTCGTGTCGAATTTTTATTCCAACCTTGTTACAGAAAATACTATTTACCCTTTGAATATACTAAAATACTTTTACTCTAAGGAATGAGGTTTTGTTAGGTATTTTAAAAAACACATGAATAATCTATGTAACTATATATCATTGACCCTGTCAAATCCATCAGGCACCACATACTTTGAAGGCACACTGAACCTCCGCATGCTCGGAGCACTGAACTATTCGCTCCGTGCGAAGTCATTGAAAGGGAAGCAAAAGCGATACTAGCGCTAGCTGCGGATAATTCATGCATTTTAGGGCGATATTTTGTAATTTTGGCATATCAAAAACACGTATACATTTTACTTTTTTTCAAAAAAGTAGGTGAAAATAATACAATAAGCAACCGGAGTTGCTGTGTTGAAAATTGTACAAATACTAGCAAAAAAAAAACAGTGAAACTTATATAAAAAATTTCAGTAGCAAAGTGGAAATTAAATCAAATAAATAAATGGATAGGTGTAACAATAAGAAGAAAAAGTACCTTTATTTTTGTAATAATAACAGTAATGCTGGAAATAGTAGACATCAGAAACTTGAAAGGTTTTAAATAAACAATAAATTATCATTTTACGATGTTCTTTAATATCCCTTTATTCATTCAGCAAGGACTAGATTTCAAGATTTCTGCCTTTGATTATTATTATATGTGGCTGGAATACAATTTTGTAACTTACTGATGGGAAACCAGTTTTAATTATTTATTCTATGTTTTCTTTCCAACAAAAATGAAAATATAAATAACGATTCTTTTTTATACATTTTAACTTCACGCTATTATTAAATGGTATTTTTTATTTTGACAGAATAATTTTTCAATGACAACTTATTAGACTTAGGCAACTTCTCATACATTTTCCAGTAAATACTGTTGCCTGCCTATATTTTATTATTCATTTTTATTGATTATACATAATTTTCTTTAATTTAAGAGAAAAAAATATATAATAATAATAAATTAATGTTTTACTTGTTTTACAAATCCGCATACTTTTATTAAAACTAACATATATACTTTTTAATTACGAATTCTATTAAAAATTGCATTTGTCAGTATACGCAGAAATAGTCCATTAATACCAAAACGAATTGGCGCTGCTGTCGCGCACTGAGCGAATATATTAAACTAGAAGAGCAAAGCCGATTAACAAAATCAAGCCGCATAGCGAGGCACATACTTTGATTTTGTATGTGTAGCGAGGTGATATTTGACACTTTGGCGCCCACATATGCGTATCGAAATTCGCTAAAAAGGATCATCAAAATTAAATTTAACACATACTACATTCAACTACGACACCTTTTAATTTAAGAAAATCACTTAAAAATGATTTTTGATTAATACGCAGCTGAAACAAGTGTTGCAATATTAATAATTATTAAAATAGTGAGTTATAATTTATCGTAGTATGCCCGTGGGAAACGTGACGTAAATGCTCGAAATTGACAGTCTGGCATCCAAATTGTCATGCGCACTGACCATTTTTTTCACCCATGTCGGCTTAGAAATTAGGAGTAGGGTTTATGTCATATAGCCATCCAGTTTAATATCAAGGTCGGTGATCAGGCAGTCCATCTGGAGCTATTTTGTTTAAAATGCTTAATAATACTTGTCCGGATACTAAACGTAAACTGTGATTGGTGGATTTCATATTTATTCAATCTAGAATGTATATGAAATTACATCCGTTCAGTAAACATATGACATATGACCTACTTGTTCAATTCGTAGTTTTCCATAAAATAAATAATATACATATGGGGATGTAAAAATATATATTGTTATTATTGTTTCAGAGAGAATGTCTTCATACACGTTTCTGCGTTCTGTAAGAGATCCTCTTCCTCCTAGTCTAGCAAATACTCCAGTACGAAATATGTTCCATAATTCATTCATACTCGGTGAAAAAGTTTTGAGGCCTAATGTTGATATTTCTAAAGAAAGTGGATTCATGGTAAGTTGTTTATATCACCAAATATCTACATATTGTTATTTTGTACATATTTTATAAAAATCTGATATGTTCAACACATGACTTTCCTGTTTTACCTACAGTTAGGATTTTTTTAGTTACTCTGTACAGCCTAGTGTATCACTCATGTAAATGTTTAGAGGATGATCTAAATACATACATTTTCCACACACATCTTTCTCGAAACATTTTTTATACACATTCATTGCCAGCGAAAATATTGAAAATTAAAATTTTACTTTTTTCCTCAAATTTTTCCATTACGGTCCATTTTAGGGAAATCATGTATTAAACAAAAATTATAGAGAATAATATCACAAACAACTTTTATTTGTACAATTTTTTATTTTGCTTGCTAGGAACAAGTGTCGTTACCATTTTCACTACTTGAATATTAACCGTAATAGTAGGTATAGTTGTCTCAGAACTAATGCCGAAATAATTTGATTTATTTCATAAAATTTTTATCCAATACGCTTTTTGTAAATTTATCAAAATTTATAAAATAAAGTTCGCTGACACCTACACCATAAAAGCACGCTCGTCCTCCTACATTCCAACTACCTTAGAAGAGAAGCGCACTTGACCGTCGTTTCAAAATTCGCGCGCTCAACCTTTTTACATTTTCACTACAAGAGCACGCTATGCTCGTTCCACCCACGTCCAAAACGCCACAGTAAAGAGCGAGCGCGCCTGGCCGACGTTTCGAAATTCGCCCGAATTTCTAAACGTCGGCCGGACGCACCATTTTTCTACCTATACCATAAGAGCACACTACGCTTATCCTACTCACGTCCTAATCACTACAGAAAAAGGAGTGAGGTGGCTCGAAGAATCTGCCTCCCCTACTGTTAGGCATAGGGCTTTTCATACCTAATTCTAGCAAAACCATTATCAAAGGAACCCTCACTCCGCACTCATAAAAATTTGCGGGGTAAGACCTTCTTTTTTATTATCCATATTTACAAGTAAGTTTTGTTATTCTATAGCAATATACTTAAAATTAAAAAGAATTGAAGTTAAATGTGATTCTATAACAAAATGAAAGGAAAGAAAACCTAACATGAACAATTTTGTAGTTTGTGGCCCACAACTCATTAAATACAAACACAGCTGCCATTTTGGATCTATTCCCCTGGGTCGTCGTCCTACAGACAGGCCCGACGAGAGGAAGGGGTAGGCGGGCACAATCCCCGGGACCCGGCAGCTTTCAAAAAGTAGGTTATAATATATGGGGAGCGGGCCTTTGCCAGTGTTTTGCCCGGGATCCCAGCATGGCTCCTGGCGGCTCTGCCTACAGAAGACAACGATTGAAGCCAGTGAGACATGAAAAGACAGGACAAGCGTAGCTAGGTCTTATGGTTTAAAAGGAACGCGACCGCGAATTTCGAAACATCGGCCGGACGCGTTCACTTCTTTCATTTAGTGGTCCAGCGTAACTGGGTCTTATGGTGTAAAAAGGGCGTGCCCCGCCGACGTTTTCGCGAATTTCAAAATGCTGACCAAGCGCGCACACTTCGCTCGCCTTTTCATCTAGTGTTTAAGCATAGCTGGATCTCATGGTGTAAAAAAGGCGCGCCCGACCGCAGTTTGCGTGAATTTCGAAACGCCGACCGGGCGCGCTTGCTTCACCCGGCGTTAGGCATAAAAAGCGCACGCTTGGCCGTCGTTTTGAAATTTTCGCATTTCAAAACGTCGGCCTGGCTCGCTTGCTTTGCTCGCTCTTTCATTTAGTGGTTAAGCGTAGCTGGATCTTATTGAGTAAAAAGGACACGCCAGGCCGGCATTTCGAAATTCGCGCTCACAAATTTCGAAATGCCGGCAAGGCATGCTCGCTCTTTCATCTCGTGATTAAACTGTTGGTGGACGAGCGCAGCAGGTTCTTATTGTACAAACTTTTTATTTTCAAACAACTCTTAATAAAGCTCTTTTTATTATTTTTGTTTGTTTTAGGTTTTAAGGTTGGCCACTGAACTGGTTCCAGCTACATTCGCAGTGATGGGGTCCGATCAGGTCTCCCCATTTTGGGCGGTATTATTCTACTTCATATTGATTATGTTCGGTATAGCCCAACAACTGGCAATATGGCATTGTGTTATCACTGGCATTATGGCTATCAAAGCGAAAGTTTTAAAGTCATGGGAGACAACTATCACCTTTTTCAGTTGCGCTTGTGGATTTATTCTGGGTCTTCCAATGGCGACAGAGGTAATTTATTAAAAATTTATTCTTTTAGAAATACGTATGAAGAAATATGAAAAATTAGTCTATTATAGAAGGAGTTTATGCACAAATTTCGATGTCAATTTATGTTTTCCTGATTATTCATATTTTCTAAAAAAAACTCCAGGACTGTTATAGCAGACCTGATATGGCAATTTCAATAATAGATAAAGTTAATTTCAATTGACTATTATTTGTTCTCCATAAGGATTATGTCCCATATCGACAGTTTACAAAAATTTACATCTTTTTTTATCCTATCGCCTGGTCATATCTGAAATAGATTCCAGCCAAATAATAAACATTTTTAATTTTATGAAAAACTTATTTTAAATAAAAGAAAATAAACTTGACATCTTTGACAAATTGCTATTATTAAATATGCCGCCATTCGGGCTAAATGGTAAAATTCAATATAAATTAAAATACTTTATATCAAACTACTAACCAAGGGTTCTGTTTGCTTTAGATGGGAATATATGTGGTGTACTTCTTCGACTACACTATTGGCGGCATATGGTGGTTGTTGATAGTAATAATCATCCAAATAATGGCTGTTTTTATGGTTCGAGGAAGACCTTATAGTGGAGACACCGTCGTCACAGCTTTATTTTACCAAAATAACCATCCTTGTTTATTAAGCTGGGCACCGGCATTGCTGTCGTTCACGTGGAATGTCATTTTACCTGTAGCGTTGATGGTAAGTCTAAAGTATCAATGATCTTATTTCTCAAATTAGACATTTTACCTCATTTAGATCATTTTTAGATCATTTATAGATCATTTTTAGATCATTTGTAGATTATTTATAAATCATTTATAGATCATTTATAGATCATTTATAGATCATTTATAGATCATTTATAGATCATTTATAGATCATTTATAGATCATTTATAGATCATTTATAGATCATTTATAGATCATTTATAGATCATTTATAGATCATTTATAGATCATTTATAGATCATTTATAGATCATTTATAGATCATTTATAGATCATTTATAGATCATTTATAGATCATTTATAGATCATTTATAGATCATTTATAGATCATTTATAGATCATTTATAGATCATTTATAGATCATTTATAGATCATTTATAGATCATTTATAGATCATTTATAGATCATTTATAGATCATTTATAGATCATTTATAGATCATTTATAGATCATTTATAGATCATTTATAGATCATTTATAGATCATTTATAGATCATTTATAGATCATTTATAGATCATTTATAGATCATTTATAGATCATTTATAGATCATTTATAGATCATTTATAGATCATTTATAGATCATTTATAGATCATTTATAGATCATTTATAGATCATTTTTATTTTCCTAAACATTTTATTTTGTTTTTAGGCATTATGCATAGCAACGTTTAAAAATGGTAACTTTAGAGACATGTTTGTTTGGCACCACGCTCCTTTGGCAGAATATTGGCCTTTATGGGCTAGGCAAGTAGGTTCTATGCTGCAACTCGTTCCTGTACTCTGTATCCCTCTGGTGGCGGTTATCCAAAGTTACAGATATTTGAATAATGGACAAAATGATATATTGGATGTAAGCAATTGTATTATAAATATTTATGGTATACAGTTTTAAAACTAACTAAAAATATGGGAAAAACAAGGGTGGAATTTTACTTTGACATTTGGATTTATTTCTAATTAATAATTGATTGGAATGAATCGCACTTAGTTAACCCACAACTTCCTCAATTCTTGATTTAATAACTTTTAATTCTAATTCATTCTTGATTCAGTAATTTTTTAATTCCAATCCTTGTTCTTTATTTTTTATATGACTGCCACTAGCTTTACAAAATTTCAGTTCTAGGATTAATTTCTTAAAAATATAGTTTATTGCGTTATAATGAATATAAAAATAGAAATAAATAAAAATTTTATTCCTATCAAACAAATGAATTTGACCCAATTTTTTAAAATACTTTTTTCTTTCTGCTTACCAAAGGATTTTGAAGAACCACAAAACTATGTTAGTAAACAATAATTAATTACATAATTTTTTATTTATTTAGCGATATTTAGTAAATATAAATAATGATATTAGAAGAATTGTTTACTATAAGTTTCAAATGTATTGACGCCTGAATTTGATGCTGAAATCACGAATTACATTTTTCTGGACAAATTAATTTTTGCGTTTGAAAATATTCCGTTTCAAGCAATTTTTTTTGTATAATTCTTCAGTCTTATTTAGTTAATGTAATTGAAACGAATAGTAGACATAAATTGGACAAACAAAATAGAATCATGTATAAGAAATGTAGCAATTTTTTATTTACGTTTCTCCATCTCCGAATAAACATAGCCTCATTACTATATATATGCAATATATCTAGTAATAGATTATTTCATCGAAACTATCGGAAGACATATTGCCCCTGCAAAGGTAGTTTGTGTCATCTATCAGTTTACATAGCAAGTAATAGAAGCAGGATTTTATTTAAAAGGAAACTGTAAATTAACATTTCGGCAATCTGTCTAAGGTCACGACTATGAAGACTAAAGATAGGGAGGCGAATCGGCATACTCAAAATACGGTCCCAAAAAAAACGCATGCTAACTGAGCTTCTATAATTAACCGCATAGGCGCTGGTACTGCATACGTTGTTCAAAATACATGGCTTCTTATGGGAATTATACATAATTTTGTCAAAATAATCAAAATAAACTTGTTTACAGCTAAATAAAGCACAGAACATACTGTTGTATTTATTTCTAAATACGTCTTGCATGTTTTAATTGATAAATTATTTAATTTTATCTATATAAAATACAAATTAGGTATGTATGACCAAATTCGAAAAGGTTTCCTAATTGCTTGATAAGTACAATTTTGTGGCATTTTTTTTTTTTAATTGAACCAATATATAGTTTTAAGAGTAAAATAAAACACAGTTAACAGATTTTTTTATTGTTGTTACACAAGTATAAAGGGAGATTTGGAAATGTACATGGTATTACCTCATCCTTTAATTTCAGCTTTCCCTTTTTTATTTTGCTAACAGTACCATCAGTAAAAATAGTCTCATAATATTTGATAATATCTTCTAAAAAGTATAGAACAGCATCATCTCTAGAAAGTGCTTTATCGGCACTAGGAACGATATATGCTGCCACTGTTCTAAACGTTTAGTATTCTATAAGAAACATTTCCAATGTCACAATTGGGGTCCAAAAAAAAAATAACAGCAGCAACTCTTTATCTAACATTAAAACTCTATAAAAAATAAATTTTCTTTTCTAGTAGGTTAAATTTAATGCATAATTATTGTTGTTTGTAAGTCAGCATCTATAACTGTAAAATTTAGTATTATAGAAACTTATAATAAAATAAACTACACTTCGTAAGATATATATTGTGATCAGTTTACAATAAATATTATATTTAGACATGAATACATTATTTTACTTACATTAAAAGCTTTAAAAAGACATTTAATTGATTTCTTCTTGTGTTTTCTTTAGTTTTACATTTGATTTTTATCCTGTTCTACAATCTGAAACGACGCAAATCTTGCTTTGATGTTTTTTTTTTTAACTCATGTTACTTGTACTCAGGTACTTTTTTTCACATTATTTTGATTCTTTTCATCAATTTTTTTAAAAAATCACTTTATTTTACATTGACTTACATAGAAAATTGACTGCGCTTTCATTAGACATGCCAACTACAGTCAATTTCGCGAACTTTATAAAAAGAAGGACGGAAATTTGAAATTGACCATTGCCGTTTCGCCTCCTTCTCTCTAGTCTTCATAGTCACGACATAGTCACGACTATAGAGTGCAGAGGCAAGGAGAACTATCTTTGTATACAAAAAATGTCCCTTAAAATGTATAAAATTAAGGTGGCGCAGCAATGATGTATATAGTTACATGTATTGCTCATCTATATGTAATTTCTTACCTAATCTGTATTGTAATGAAAAGGTAATCTGGATTGTTATTGAAACAATCTGTATCATAACAAAAATAATCTGTATGATACACATTTTATGTGCAGTCTGTTCGCTATACTTACGCGGGTTTCGGATTAAAAATTTTATGAGTATTTCCAGGTAAGTACCCGAAAGTTTGACCTGTTCTTTGGGGAAATATCAACTGCTTAAATGAAATGAAAAATAATGTACAACTTTTTAATTAAATAATAATGGAGAATCTTTTGTATAATTGAGAGCAGAATTAAACTTCTTCATTAATGGAGTCTAATGTGGCTATTATAAACCTAATAATAATTTTATATTACACTTCACATAGAAAATATGGTCTATGTATAATAAGAGGGTTATTTAGCTCAAATAAAATATTTTCTAACATAAAAATTTGTTCCATGTAGAGAATTTCAAATGAAAAATAAAAAAAAATGAACTTGCCAACAAAAATGAAAACCAGTCATTATCATCCAAAATATCATAATCGTCATCATCATCACTGTCATTACCATTAATTGTTATTATGATTGGATTTATTTCGTTTATTTTATTTTCACGAATCCACCAATCTTCTATTAGTTTCTCGCACTTGGATATACAGTTCCGCCACACTTCTGGAGTTGCAATTGAAAGTGCTTTTCGCCAAGTTTCCCGAACTGCGTCGTCACTATAACCATTAGGCCCAATATGATCCACAATAAAGGTTTTTGGTTTTGCGTGTATATTTGCCAAGCGTAATAATTCTGATTTTAATATATATTGAGGAAATAGTATATGTTCGTTTGTCAACCATTCTTTAATTTTATCAACAGTCCAAGAATTCGTTGGACTTTTGTTTAATACTTCAGAATGGTAAGGTGCATTCTCTAAAATAATTATGCTGGGCTCACTTAAACCTGGGAGAAGTTTTTTATGCAACCATTTTACAAACATTTCTGTGTTCATATTATCGTGAGAGTCACTGGATTTTAATTTAGATGAAAATAATAATTCAGCACCTTCTATAAAACCCGATTTCCCTCCTGCATGTAAAATTATGTGTCGCTTCCCTTCTCCATCGGTATGTTTGATGGACTTTACGTTATCATCTTGCCATATTCTCTTGGTTGCACCCCTAGAAAATATCCATGTTTCGTCTAAATATATAAAATTCGCCCCTTCTTCTTTAAATTTAGAATATTTTCTTAGAAAGTTAATTATCCTGTGCACGACAGAACTTCTTTCACAAAGGGCCTTTCTGTTATCCTTCTTTTGAAATTTGAAACCCAAGTTATGTATCACTTGCCATAGACTTGTTCTGCCAATGTCGTCAAATTGTCTTATCTATTAATTTCGAGAGAATTGTATTTAAGGTCACATGTTCCTTGTTTGCCCTCATTCGATAAATGTTATCACGAATTTCAAATTTCTTTCCATTTGGAATATCTTTCGTTTTCAATGATGGGCGAGTTTTGCGGTGATCTTCTTTCGGCAGTTCACTATTGTGATTTTGTAATACTCCTCTTAATTTAGTTTTACTAATTCCTAGAGCATCGCATAAAGGACCGCCATTTTCTTTTTCATCCGTAAAATACTTATGTACACTACAAATTAGATTATCTACATCTAACACACGTCTAGGCATTTTTAAAATTTCCACTAAATTTACAATATACATACAATGTCAACACTTGCAAAGAATCAATTCAACTGCAATATTTGTAACAAATTTAGTACCTACCCTAATGTTATTTTAATTTAAATCGGACCATTAGGCAATTTTACCTAATTTCTTGGGAAGCGGCTTATCGGAACTGGTTGTCAATGACTAATTTGCATAATTTTGTTAAATCGAAACCCGCGTAAGTATAGCGAACAGACTGTAGGCATTTAATAGTATCTACAATGTAAAATGAGGGTACAAAGAAAATGTTATGTCATTGTGGAAAATTTGTAATATTAGTAAAAATATTTTTGCTTAAGAAATAATACCGTTTCAAGCAGGTATGGTGTATATTAGGGTAACCATATTTATTTTAACCTAATGTTGGACGTTAAACACTAATACAACATTGATTAATTTTGGAGGGAAGAAGACCTCTTTTTTTTGCTAACCAAAGATAAAAATACAAAAACAGAGAAGTCATGTAGATGGCCACATTTTTTTTAGCTCCCTAAAGATAAATACAACAACAGAAAAGTTATGTATTACGTTTTGTCTTCTGCTAGACAAATACAATACTAATACAATACAAGATCAAATACCGAATAGACTTTAAAAATGTACAATGCAGCAAAATGCTATATAGATATAAGTCTGTGCTAGTGCTATGTTTAACGCGATTTAATCTGAAAAATACGCAATTTCGATCAAACCTAGCAAGAAGAAATTGCAAGAAACTTGCTAGGCTAGGGTTGTGGCTTTTTTCAAAATACAAGTACTCCTAGGTTCGTATCTTTCTGTCGCTGAGCTTTTAGACAAATTACCGAAACGACAAATATGCAGCTTCCTTTGAAATAAAATCCTGCTATCACTTGCTATGTAAACTGATAGATTGTACAAATGACCTTGCAACGGCAATATGTCTTCCGATGAAAACATCTGTTCCTTTTATATTAATATATGTACAGTAAGAGGGTACGGGAAAATAATTTGGGGGTTACATAGGTACACGATTCTTAATAGCCATATATGCAATAAAATAGGAAAAGTTACTGCGAGTTCTTCAAATAATTAAGATTTGTAAATGAAATGTGCCAATATTTGAAAATTATACTGCATAACTACAGAAATATCACTTGTGCTTATTCTAGGTCTCGCAACTTTTTCTTCCTATACCAATAATTTTCAAATCGACATCCCCGTTTTACATTTAATTTAGATTTTTGGCAACCTCGTCTAAGTTTTCCATATTATGCTGCACGCTGAACTTTACTATCACACCATAAAGGTCACATTAATTTAATAGGTATTTATGAAACCAGTTACGAAATGCCTCATTTTATGTAATGAGTGAAATTTAGCGGGACTAGCAGAGCGAGATCCCGCAACATGAACTAGTTACCTAAAACGGCATTTCGTAACGTGTTACATACAATATTTTTTTCCATATTTGACTAGATTGTTATTTATAAAATTGTTGTTGGTAAAAAATTACTGACATCTAGGCAACCAATATTACTACTTTCGTGTATTGTTAGTTGCATATGATTAACTTCAATCTTTTATTGACAAATAGAAAATCATGTTCATTTATTCTCAACGACTTATTGTATTATTATTATTTTGTGCTGATTTAGAATGAAAAACATAATTAGGTTGTAAGTTTAATCAAATTCTATTTCTATAAGTTTATTTATTTTATTTTTTTAATAATTAATACATATTCTCGTTTATCATGAAATTTTGATTTGTCCAATTTTGCTCAGTTTGTAAACTAGTCATTAATTTTTTAGTCTTTCTATTAGGAAATATAAGTTTTTATCTTTTTTTATATAGCGTATTCAACTACTGTACAGGCCACCTATTGGAGAGCACATGGACGAGCTGGGTGTACAGGAAGCGGCTGATGCCATAAGGAACGAAAATAACGCAGCTAATGCCGCCGCAGAAGATCCACCTCCGAAATATACTCCTCCGCCCTCTTATACAACAGCAACCGGTGCAAGAATAGCTAAATTCTTAAGACAGAGTATAAGAAGAAGTGTAAGGCGAATAGCCAATGTTTTGGGTAAGCAAATACTAAATAGCTAAAGACATATTGTAGTAGAAACAGCTCACTATACAGCTCCACAAGTCCAAGCGGCGTCTTTGATCTGGCGGTAACCAAGCAAGATGGAATGATAATTTCGGCTTGACAGTACCGTAGTAGGTGATTTTTGAGCTTTCAATCTGAAAGTTTGCAATGAAATTAGATATCCAATAGGTACCCACTATGCATAAAAACTTTAAACTAATGAGAACTTTACATCACATTGTAACATTATAACTCTCATTTTTACTCTTGTTTTTATCTATAAGACGGACTCATAACCGTCTAAGCCCAGAGTAGGGACGTTTACTTTTGTGATGAAACAATGTAGATGTTGCGGTGATACACATACTTGATTACTATACGGGGCAAGAGAGAGGTCCGACACACCCAACATAGGGCGCGGCCATTTTGATTCCTATGACACAGCTTACAGCTAAAGAATCAGATCGCTCACTCTGCGTCGGCACTTTTGATCTCAATGTTCCAGTTTATACACTGCGCAACTCGGATAATACAATATATGACAACCGCCTATAATAAAACAGCAGTCTTCTGCGTATCCTGAATTTGTATCCCTGGAGTGGAAGTTATTTTGGAACTTTCAACTGGTCCGAGTGAGCTAACTGATTCTTTAGCAATAAACTGTGACACCAAAAATAATATTCACTGACACTGACAGCAGCAAGCAAAATATCAGGTGCGTTTTAATCACCCGCTTCTGCTTCCGGAATTGTAGTTTAGTCGTCTTAACCTGTTAGATTAAAACAAGAAAACCGACATAACAAAACATAGCACAGTTGTTACGCCCATGGATATCTACATTATTTACATTTCATGAGATTGATTTTGACAGAACCTACCTGTGAAAATATCAAGCATTGGTTTTGGGTGTTTTTGGTCCAAAATGTTCGGAAAACTATGCATCTCTTTACTATTTTGAAATGTATAATCACGTTTGTAAATAATTTCTTTCATATAAATAAATAAAACAAGAATATTTCACTAAAATAAAATACCGAATGACACTTTTAAAAACATACAGAAACAGGGTTGCCAAATGTCCAGTTAAAATATAGTATTTAATGGTTAAACCGATGGATCGTAGTGAACAAAATCTAAAAACATCTAATATAAACACCGATTCAATGCAGAAGAAACTTAAATGAGAAATTTTATGAATATGATCCAGATTCTTAAATGAACTGTTAAATATTAAGCTCCATATTAAGTATTTCGAACCTTGAAACATTGGGATCTAATAATTATTATCCTTATACGTTTAACCGAAAGTGACACTGTGGCAACCTCTGCTGGTACCACTGTTTTTGTGCATGCGATTGTGGACCTTATTATCATACGAATTGTTTATGTAAACAAGGCGTATCTATTCCAATACATTATCGAATATTATCACATACTTTGATTTTCTTTCTGAGTGCCTTTTAAAAGGAGATAGAAAACTCCGCCATTTTGAACCCTTATTACGTGTTGCCTACATCTTGGCGCAATATTTTTATTAGGTGCGTTTTAATCATCCGCTTCTGCTTCGGAATTGTCGGTTTTCTTGTTTTAATCTGACAGGTTAAAACGACTAAACCGACAATTCCGGAAGCAGAAGCGGATGATTAAAACGCACCTGATATTTTGCTTGCTGCTGTCAGTGTCAGTCACATATTTTGATTTTCTGTGTCAGTGAATATTATTTTTGAAGTCACAGTTTATTGCTAAAGAATCAGTTAGCTCACTCGGACCAGTTGAAAGTTCCAAAATAACATCCACTCCAGGGATACAAATTCAGGATACGCAGAAGACTGCTGTTTTATTATAGGCGGTTGTCATATATTGTACTATCCGAGTTGCACAGTGTATAAACTGAAACATTGAGATCAAAAGTGCCGACGCAGAGTGAGCGATCTGATTCTTTAGCTGTAAACTGTGTCACAGGGTTAAAAATGGCCGCGCCCTATGTTGGGCGTGTCGGACCTCTCTCTTGCCTCGTACAGTAACAAAGTATGTGAATATTATACATTAATTCGTTTCAAAGAAAATACCTTGTTGCCATACTTTTTCATCTTATTAAAAAGTTCTAAGGAGATATTTCTACATCTTATATTTTTTACAGGTGAAGGTTCGTCAAGGCAACGAGCTACTATTCCAACTGTAAACGGCATCACTTCAACGCACATCCCACCACCAGACTATAACGCTGTCTTGGTTGAGATGAACAACACACCACAATCAAGAGGCGACGTTTCGATCTCAATGACAGATGGAGCTAATATTACAAGACTCTCCACGCTGGAAAGACTGAGAAATCTGGAATCGACCTCTACAGCTCTGACAGCAGCAGAGGTGGCTTCAATTTTGCGAAGTAGTTTTAGAAGGAGTACCCTCACATCTAGAAATAACGCCAGAATAGCGACGTTTAGTAACGATATGGCGTCGTTAAGCGCACAGAATTTGATTGATTCTGCTGCTCCTATTGGCGAAATGTCGCTAGTGATGGACCATTTGCCTAGTACTGATGATAGTGAGGTGAAAAATAATAATACTTCATCTGTGATATAAATTATGTATATTTAAGAATAAATAAGGTTGGTTCATAGAATAAATATGAATATTTTATTGTCGCAAACATATTTTTTTTTATCTTATTAGTTAATTTTAATTCGGAAAATATTTTATTATATAGATATGATTTAAAATTCTAGTCGTGCTTATTAACGGAGTTAAAATTAAATTATATTTTTATGTTTCAACCAATATTATTGATACAAAATAGGGAAAACAGTAACGAAATTGTTTTTTAGCTATTTAAAAATAATTTTAATTCAAAAATTCTATGAGCTGACAGAAATCTGTACATTATATGTTGTCTTTACTATGTAAAGTATCAAGTCACGTGTAATATACTGTTAATTATTTATAATTTTGTAAAAACTTACGTTAAAATTTATTACTAAATCTTTAGATCATTAAAACAAATAAATTTTTAACAATACTATGATGTGATTTACAAATATATTCTTCAAAATTAGGTAGATGAATATTTTTTATAAATACGCATCATTAATGTAATAGAATATTTTGAAATTTAAGATTTCTATCGTTTTTTTTATTGACTTTATTCACATTAGATAAGGCTGTAAATTACCTAGTTTTTATTTTTCACTTGAAGAGAATAAATTTACAAAATTGATAATGTCTTAAAGATTTATATTTTTTTTTCGTTTTTATTACAAAATTATTATAATAAATATCTAATTTTATTTAATAAGCAATCTTTATTTTGTAAATAGATATCACATATTTCAACACAGAACTTTTTCTAGACTTGATAATAAATATAATATTTTTCTTTGTATTTTACCTCTTCTTTTTTTATAAAAATCACTTTCAAGGACTGATAATTTAACTCTTTGAACATAGCTTTGTATGACGTTGTGTCTATTAAAAAAATGTTCTTGTTATATTTTTTGTTTTATTAACATTCCCATATTCTCTTGAAAACGAAAACTTAAAAAACTTGACAACTTGAAAACTAGAAACCTTGAAGACTTGCTTGAAAAGTGAGAGTTGAAAGTAGAAAAAATTAAAAGTTGAAAAAATAAAAAATTGAAAGCTTAAGGTAACGCAAAATTGGGTTCCTAATCAAATATTAATTACCAATTAGGGCAACTGTCATTTGAAAACTTAAAAAATTGAAAACACTTTAAAAGTTGTAAAGTTGAAATGTTAAAAAAATGAAAAATTGAAAAATTAAAAAGTTGAAAACTTACGTCAAAGCTTGAGGTTCCCTAATGAAATATTCATTGCCAGTCAGGCAATTGTCATTTGAAAACTTGAAAAATTTAACACACTTTAAAAGTTGAAAAAATTACAGTTAAAAAGTTGAAAACTTGAGGTAACGCAAAACTGGGGTCTCTAATCAAATATTGATTGCCAGTTAGGGTAACTGTCATTTGAAAACTTGAAAAGTTGTAATGTTGTACAGTTGAAAAGTAAACAATAAGTTGAAAAGTTAAATTTAAAAAGTTGTTGAAATGTTAAAATTTGAAAAGTTGAAAAATCGAAAAGTTGAAAAATTAAAAAGAAAGTTAAAAAGTTGTTGAAATGTTTAAAAGTTAAATAGTTGAAAAAATGAAAAGTTAAAAAGTTAAAAAAGTGAAAACTTACTAGGAAACTTGAGGTAACGCAAAATTGGGTTCCCTAATCAAATATTCATTGCTTATTAAGGTAACTGTCATTTGAATACTTGAAAAGTTGAAGTTAAAAAGCTGTAATGTTGAAAAGTAAAAAAGTTGTTAAAATATTAAAGTTGAAAAGTAAGTTGAAAAGTTGTTGAAATGTTTAAAAGTTATAAAAATGAAAAGTTGATAAGTTAAAAGGTTGAAAACTTAAGGTAACGTAAAATTGGGTTCCTTAATCAAATATGCATTGCCAATAAGGGTAACTATCATTTGAAAACTTAAAAACTTACTTGAAAAGTTGAAAACACTTGAAAAGTTAGAGACTTGAAAAGTTAGAAACTTGTAATGTTGGAAACTTGAAAAGTTGTAAAGTTGAACTGAAAAGTTGTAAAATTGAACAGTTGAAAAATTGTAATGTTGAACAGTTGAAAAGTTCCAAACTTGTAAACTTAAAAACGAAAACACTAGAAAAGTTGTAAAAAAAAAGAAAACTTGAAAAGCTGAAAGTTGTTGAAATCTTCAAAAGTTAAAAACCACATATTTTGATTACTATACGGTGCAAGAGAGAGGTCCGACACGCCCAACATAGGTTGCGGCCACTTTGATTTCTATGCCACAGTTTATAGCTAAAGAATCAGATCGCTCACTCTGCGTCGGCACTTTTGATCTCAATGTTCCAGTTTATACACTGCGCAACTCGGATAATATAATATATGACAACCGCCTATAATAAAACAGCAGTCTTCTGCGTATCCTGAATTTGTATCCCTGGAGTGGATGTTATTTTGGAACTTTCAACTGGTCCGAGTGAGCTAACTGATTCTTTAGCAATAAACTGTGACTCCAAAAATAATATTCACTGACACTGACAGCAGCAAGCAAAATATCAGGTGCGTTTTAATCATCCGCTTCTGCTTCCGGAATTGTCGGTTTAGTCGTTTTAACCTGTCAGATTAAAACAAGAAAACCGACAATTCCGAAGCAGAAGCGGATGATCAAAACGCACATATTAAAAATATTGCGCCAAGATGTAGGCAACACGTAATAAAGGATCAAAATTGCGGAGTTTTCTATCTCCTTTTAAAAGGCACTCAGAAAGCTGCGCAGTGCGACCATTCTCCGTATAGTAAAAAAAAATATCAAAGTATGTGTTAAAAAAACTTTAGGTTACGCAAAATTGAGTTCCATAATCATATATCCATTGCCAATTAGGATAACTCATTTGAAAACTTGATTTAACTTAACAGTTGTAAAGTAAAAAAGTAAGTTGAAAAGTTGAGAACTTGTAAACTTAAAAACGAAAACACTTGAAAATTTGGAAAATTGGAAAGTTGAAAAGATGTTGAAAAGTTAAACAAATGAAAACTTGAGGTAAATATTCATTGTCAATTAGGGAAACTGTCATTTGAAAAGGAAGATTTTGGTTATTTCTTCCTTTGTCTACTTTAGATATTAGAAACTTTTTTATCACAAGTTGAACCTATACTAAACTAAATAAAGTGGAAAACTTGAAGACTTATTGAAAAAGTTAAAACACTTGTTGAAAAGTCGAAATATTGAAAATTAGAAAAGTTTTACAGTTGTAAAGTTGAACAGTTGAAAAGTTGAAAATTTAAAAAGTTGAAAAATTAAAGTTTGAAAGTTGAAAAATAAAAAGTTGAAAAGCTGAAAAGTTAAGAACTTAAAAACGAAAACTTGAAAAGTTTAAAACACTTGAAAAGTTGATGAAAAGTTTAAAAAATAAAAAGTTAAAAACATGAAAGTTTAAAACGCTTGAAAAGTTGAAAACCCTTGAAAAGTTGAAAACCCTTGAAAAGTTGAAAACACTTAAAAAGTTAAAACAATGAAAAGTTGAAAACTTACTTGAAAACTTGAGTTACCGCAAAATTGGGTTCCCTAATCAAATATTCATTGCTTAATAAGGTAACTGTCATTTGAAAAATTGGAAAGAAACACTTGAAAAATTGAAAATACTTGAAAAGTTAAAAAGCTAGAGCTGTAATGTTGAACAGTTGAAAAGTAAAAAAAGTAAGTTAAAAAGTTGTTGAAATATTAAAGTTGAACAGTTGAAAAGTAAGTTGAAAAGTTGTTGAAATGTTTAAAAGTTCCCTAATCAAATATTTATTGCCAATTAGGGTAACTGTTATTTAAAAATGAAGATTTCCTTTGCCTACTTTAGAAACTATTTTTACCACAACTTGAACCTATACTGAACTAAAGTTGTATTTAAATAAAAAAATACGAAGTTCAATTATTACTCAGTTTATTAAAAAAATAATGATCAACAAATCATCTAAAATTATTACGATTTAACCCTAGTATTAATTTCTATAGCAACATTAATCATATTATTGCCTAAGAAAAAGTCTGTAGCAACAACATTTGTATTTGTACTCCATTCGTCTCTGAACCACTGTGTCAACAAACTGTTAACATTTTGAGCCAATTTCCTTAAATTGTTGGTTCCGAATACAACATCGAGAGGTTGGGGGGTTAGTTCGGCCATTAGTGCCCATAACGGATTGATTGTACTGGCTTGACTGTGTTCAACAATTGATTTTTGAATGTATTGTTTCAGTGATGAGACGCTTTTTGTGTTCGCCCAATACTGAGGTATAGGGTTCCACAGCCAGTAACTATCTAAAATAAAAATTCAATTAGTGAGATTGAATAATTTAGTTCAATCAGTGGCGGATTTACGATTTGTTCTACGGGGAGAGGGGGAGGTGGGCGCTGCAAAGAACTGTTGGCGAAATAAATATATACCTAATTTACTTGTTATATTTTCAGTATCAGTACAAATAATTTTTGGGCAAATTGTTTTTACCAATTGTTTTCACAAATTATTTCTGGAAAACTATAGACAGACCATTTTTGGATAAATTGTTTTTGAACAAATTATTTTTGGACAATTTTTTTTGAACTAATTATTATTATTGAACAAATTATTTTTGGACAAATTGTTTTTGGACAAATTATTTTTGGACAAATTATTTTTGGACCCAAGAATACATTACTAGAATTTTTCACTTTTCTTTAAATTTCTTCATTACGGTCGATTTTAGAAAAATTATGTATATGAGAAAAATTATAAAGAATGGCATCACAAACAATTCTTATTGATTATAAATTATAAAAAAACTATAAAAAATGTATCTTAAGTAGAAAAACGCCTCTTTAAAAGTACCCTTCAAATGCCCCGATTATTACCTTGCACTGCTCCTCTATTTCCATAACAAATTATTAAATTCTTATTCTTGGCCCAAATTTCATTCAGCGATGGGCCTTTTCCGCCCCTCATATCTGTGGATGGTACGGCAAACGTTCCTAATTCTTCGTATACGATTTCTATAAACTTTCTGTGTAAGTCCAAAGTAAAATTAGTCGGATATGGAAATCTATGGAAGTCTAAAATAACAATTTCGTTTGGAGCCAGCTGCAAAAATTTTTTAATTTCTTGAAACAATGGACGGACTTTGGTAACTCGTATTAAGTCATGATTGATATAGAATCTGAAATAAATAAAATTACAAATATAAAAAAATTGGTTTTTCTATTCGTCCGAATGCACTGTATATTTGTTCGTCAGTGTGGGATTGAGTTCTGTAGTGATAATATTTTCACTCATTGTTAGGAGTATTGGGGAGTGATAAGATATTAATTCCTCAACATTTGTCATTATAGAATTTGCTGCAATATTTTTGGAAATAATTTAATTTAATTATTTAAAATTAATTCTGATACCTTGGTAGGATTCCCCACTCAACCATTCACTGTTGGGTACTAATTAACAGTGCTGTTCCTAAAGTGGCGCTCGGAAACAGTTACAAAGCCTACACAGAACACGAAGCTAATAACCGTAGCAGTTGATGCCGATGACACCAAAAAAAAGTCCAAAAGATCTGGTATTGTATCTCGTTCCATTCTGACACCAACGATATTCGACCAAAGGCGTAACATGTTGGAAATAAAAAAAACTAACTTCTATTTATGTTATTAGTACTTTATTGATCTTTTTAGGTTTCAAATTTCATCCCATGACGTCATATCATTATAAATATGATAAGTGATGAAAATCTCCAAGCGTCATTAAATAGTGCACAGAATATACAAAAAAACTTTATTCGAATTAATTTCAATACAATTCATAAATGAGCCATAAATCGGGTGTTCCGCCAATTTTGGCCAACCCTGCCCACTAAACATGAAACATTACCAGTCTTTTTTTGTAACGTTTCTCATAGAGACTTTTCTTGATATATTTTTGAAACGATACTAAAATATCCCATAGATGTTTAAAGTTTAACATCATATTCATTAACATTCCTCGCACATATCTACAAATGAAGTTTTATGTAAGCTGCAATACTTGAATTAGCAGTTACATAAACATCTTTTGTACTTCTTTTTAGTTACTTCCTGTGACAAACATTTATACGATGTTAATTTTTATAAATCACAATAATATCGCATACAGGTCAGCACAGTAATGTGTACAAGTTACACATCTTTAAGATGGCTATCTTTAGTTTTTACATCACATACCTAACAGTTCGTCTCGCGTTCATAGATGGAGATACCAATGATCGCTTGCTACTTACGTATTATGGAGCAGTCTGTTGCCCAGTATTAAGTATTTCATCAAAGTTCTTACTTTTATCTTTGATATTAATTTAGACCGTTTTATTATCATGCTTTTTCTGTAAAATTTTCTGGGATTAGAAATTAGAAGCTTTAAGCACAGGATAATGAACAATACAGAAAAGAAACATAGGGCTAAAACAGGAACCTAGCAACCGAAGCCACACCTTCTTCATTGAGGAGCATTGTCAAAATTGAACCGTAGATTTGTTACTTGTTCGAAGTGCAACAGTGCACACTTTTATAGCAGTTGAACGAACCTGTCACTGCTGTCGCTATTTTTTTTTCTGTCGTGTCTTTATTTGTCGTTTTGGATTTTTGGTTGTTTTTAGCGAATATTCTGATAACTTTTACGTTTTTTTAGTAGTTTATTTTTAGTTTTTGTTGATGTTTTTAATTGTGGAGTTGTTAATTTAAGACTTTATTGTACGTATTAAGATTAGGTTTATAAACAATGCCGCGTCAAAGAGGAGGAGGATATATACTTGTATTTATCGTGGATGTACCCCAAGAACAGGTGGCAAAGAAGGATTGTTCATTCTTGTGAAAGATCCAGTGAGGTAGGTATGAAACCTTAAGGGTGAAATAGAAATTGAACTTGCCATAACATGGTAGTACAATGATTGTATATATTTTTCAGACTTGAATTGTGGCTTAAGGCAGCAAATAGAGAGAACTTATTGGGAAAGGGTGTTGAAAACTTAAGTAAAAATTACAAAAACAGTTTTTCAAGGTAAATAAATACATTTTATAGTTAAATATTACAAAAAGTTTGCTACTTGTCTTGTCATTTTTTACATTACATTTGGTAGTTTAAAAAAGAAAATGATAAGCACTAATAATCTTAGAATACATTGAATTTTGTAGAACTACCTCGGAGGTAAACTACACTATGTCGACATACAACAAATTATGCAAATTAAAATAAAGTAGTTTTAGTAGTTAGGTTAGTAAGAAATGTAAATATTGTGACAATAAATGGGTGTCTAAATGCATATCTAGTTGAAGTTTAATAATTTAACAACATTCAATCTGCTGTACTAAAAAGTTGACTAGAGTGATAGTGCAGTTTACCTCCTATTCACAGAAATATATTCACATTTTATAAAATTATTTTAAATTTCATCTGGCTAAAAATTCTGACAAATGATGCACCTTCTTGACATTAGTTGATCTGATAAAAATTTGGTTTCTCTTTTTTTTTAGAGGAATTTGTTGTTCATGGCGAAGAAAGCAAAGACAACTTGTGTCTACCCTCAACTTCAGCAGAAGTAGAATTTATTGAACAAGTGCATAGTCAACCATCTGTTTCTCTACCTTGTGTAACAGCACAAATTCGAGCGGGTAATGTATTATTATCAAACACTCCAAGAAAGCAGAGACTGCGACTGAAGATAGCAACGTTGAGAAAACGTTTGTTTGGTGCAAAAAGAAGAAAAATAATTACTCATTATTTAATATTTTCTATAAGTACCGTTTATATAATTATTCTATATTTTTGTTGTATATTAGGATATAGCTATTTTAATAAAGCTACTTATCTATGTATTATAAATTAGGCTTGCTCTATAAATTTGTGTAAATAATTTTAATTATTTTAATTTTCAAACAATTCTTATTTAATAAAATACATGCAGTAGATTGTAAACTTATCAATTGCATAAATACACGTTTTTTTATTTTTCTTTTTTGTTTCTTCATAAAATCGATAAAATGCGCTTTAGCTAATGATTTTTTAACAATTATCTCAATTGATTTATACTTATGGATCATAAATGACTAGAGAGATTTGTGGCACAATATTAATAGTTCATTATGACAGGGTAAAATAAACTATTGTTTAAAACTTTATAATTTTTATTTTTGAAACTTCTGTCGGAATAGTTTCAAATGCATTCATGCAAATTTTCATAAAATATAACACATAATTATGTAAAAGGGAAATGTAGTTTTCACAGTGTAGGTTCAGTGAATAGCTACGTTCGCGTGTACTGTGAATAATTACGTTTTCTCAGAGTATCTCTGTGGTGGAACTCAAGGTCAAATATTTCTATCCCTTCAACTTCAAAGTTCCGACCATTACTTTCTTTTTTGTATTGTTCTTTCTTCTGTGTTTTAAGCTTCAAGTTTATTTATTTTTATTCTGTTTTATATAGATGAAATATAAAATATTTATATAACATGGTCGCAGAATAACCTACCTGATTATTCTGTGGCATGGTCCATTTAAAATTTAAAAGATAAAGATAAAAATAAAAAGGTATGAACTGTATCGTTTTTGGAACGTCACATTTGGTTTATTAATATGATTTTATTTTATGGGCTTTTATAATAACATCTACAAGAAGTAAAAAGACTTTCTTAGATATAACAGGAATGTCACATCTGGTTTGTTAAAAAGACATCATTTTTGGGAACTTCCAATAACGTAACAAAGTAGCGCTATAATATCACCGCAACGTCTACATTGTTTCATCACAAAAGTAAACGTCCCTACTCTGCGCTTAGAGGGTTATGAGTCTGTTTTACAGATGAAAAAAGAGTAAAAATAAGAGTTACAATTTAATGTTTTTATGCATAGTGGGTGTACGTAGTAATATATTAGATAATTTACCCTTCTCTTCCATAGTATCCTATCCTGAAGTCCAAATACCTGATTCCAAAAACCAGTTGCGTCCAAATACTTCGGTCTTGATTAAGGACATAATTTTCCAAAAAACCCGGCACTCCTTTATACGAACCCGAATTATGTGTTCCAGGAATTAATAAAGATGCTATTTTTTGGTTTCCTAAATATTGCCTGAAAAAAGTGTAATATGACACTCAATGTGTTTAAGGTTTTAATATTATAGAACACAATAGTAGATAATAAATATATTTCTTAAAATGTTGACAGGCAAAAATTTTTCGATCAGTTTAATCCATCGAAATTTTGGATTTTTTTAATTTTGTCATAAATTTGTCATGGAAAAAGAAAATTTGTCGCTCATCCCCTTTACAAAATAACTATTGGTAGTGCTAACTTCTTGGTAAAGATATCACAACTAATCACAAAAATGGACATAAATGACATTTTTTTCGTGGATAATTTGTCGCTTTTTCGTCGTAAATTTGTTGTGAAAAAAATGTTATTGCTCTTCCCTTGGTTATTTTAGCATTAATCTGGGTATATAATTCCAAAAAAGGATGAGCGACAATTTTTATTTATACAACAAAGGACCACTTTTTATATTGATTATGGGTACTGTCTCAAATTTGTTCATATTTTAGTATGTTATTTTCCAGGTTATTAAACGCAAGGCCCCAAGTTTTCAGCTCTATAGGGTGAGCTGCTAGAAGAAGTCAAACGTAAGAAGTGCAAAATTAATATTTTCATATATATCTCTATCACTCTTAAGTAATTCATATTTTTTCTATGAAACATATGTCATTATTAATACTAATTATGGTTAGTTTATGATTTGTACTTTGCAAAATAAATCATACAGAGTGTGTAAAAAATTAAGAATATAAGGTACTGAAATAGGGTGTATTTTCATGTATAATTAGAACATTACTTCTGACCACTAATTTATTATATTAAATAGTAGATATTTTCAAATATTACAGGGGTCTATTCTGTAACAATTCCTTTATATTTAAACGGCCGTTAAAACATTGGCGGCCTTTAAAAATATTTTCGTATTCACTAACCTAATTCTGTCAATATTTAAACAGATTCCTTTAAAATAATCCTAAAATAACAATCCTTTCTAACGGTTTTGAATTGAAAATTGAGGATTTGTATTCAAACTAGTTCAAATAAATCTTAAATGCGATGTTATCAAGTGTTATCCTGCCATCTTTAAGGGAATCCGTTAAAATAAATAATTTTTAACATGCCTCTAAAATTTGTGTATACAGAATAACATTTTAAAAAAATTAACGGGCCGCTAAAAGTTTAATTTTTAAAAGCCTTTAAATTTTAACGGATGTGTTACAGAATAGACCCCACAGTAAGCGAAATATATAAATATTATTCAGTACAAAAATATAACAGTTTCTTTTCATGGATTTTTGGATTACCAAATAAATTATAATTTTATATGAAACAAACTGATTTTTAAAAAACTTGTTACTCAACTATTTATAAACCATTAAGCCTTACCCGCCATCAAAACCTGACTCATATTTCAGCAATATTTAAAATAGTCCACAAGTTATTGTTATTATTTTTGAATCATGCGTATTCCAGGTATCACATAATAGTTAAAATACGTGCCTATAGTTCTTACACCAGTACTTATGCAGAAACTGTATAACCTTTTTAGTCAGCTTTTAATTTAACTAAAATAAACCTACTAAATCTACCAAATAGAATTATACAGGATGTTTGAAAAACATATACCAATGCTCGTGGGATGATTCTCAACTCAAAAATAAGACAAATAGTTCGTATCAACATGGATTCACACATATGCTTCAGAGATACAGGGAGTTATAATTTTTCATTTTTTTTCATTTTTTTTTTCAGTTATTTAGTTTTTTTTTTCAGTTTTTTAACGGTTTTTTCAATTTTTTAAATTAATTTCTCAAACTACGCTAACGATTTGAATGAAATTTTGGCTAAAAATGTACCAATAAAAGTACATATTTTAGGAAATAATAAAATTTAAACAGATTTAGCATGGGCGTGTGAACGGGAGCTGTATTAATTTTACCAAAAAATATGTATGTCACTGACTTTTTCACGTTTTGATAGCACATTTACTTATATATTTAAATGACCAGTACAAAGAAATAAAAATAAAAAATTATAACACCCTGTATGATTAAAACAAAATATCTGCGGACTCTTGTTCATAGCAACTTTTTTCTTATTTCATCCCACGAGTAATGGCACCCTGTATGTAAAAGAGTGGTAGATTGACATCTGTACTGTGATTTATACAAAAATCAGGATCTGGTTTTTAATTAGATTATGTCTTTGACAAATTGTCCACATAAAATAAAGTCATTTTCGTGACTGGTAGTGCTAACTTTTTATCAAAATTAGCATTAACTGGTGTTTATTTAAAACAGAGATGATCGACAAACTTGTTTTTTCCATAACAAATTTATGATATAAAAGCGACAAATTATCCATATAAAAAAGGAATTTATGCTCATTTCCATCAAAATTAACATTAACTGAGGTTTATTTCAAAAAGGGGACGAGCGAAAATTTTTTTTCGACACCTTAGAGACAAAAAAGAGAAATTAATTTCCATCAAAATTAGCATTAACTAGTGTATATTTCAAAAAGGGTATGAGCGACAAAATGGTTTTATCCACAACAAATTTACGACAAAAAGGCGACAAATTATCCATATAAAAAAATGTAATTTATATCCATTTCCGTCAAAATTAACATTAACTTGGGGTTATTTTAAAAGGGGATGAGCGACAAATTTAAGAAAAAAGTGACAAATTATACGTACAAAAAATAATGTTATTTATGCTTATTTTCGTGATTGGTAGTGCTAACTTTCCATCAAAATTCGTATTAACTGGAGTTTATTTCAAAAAGGGGATGAGCGACAATTTTTTTGACACTTTAGCAACAAAATAGGGTCAAATTATTTTCCATCAAAATTAGCACTAGCTAGTGTATATTTCAAAAAAGGACATGAGCGACAAAATTGTTTTATCCATAACAAATTTACGACAAAATGCGACAAATTATCCTACTAAAAAATGTCATTTATGCCCATTTCCATCAAAATTAACATTCACTTGGGGTTATTTCAAAAAAGGCGAAAGGCAAAAGAGCGACAAATTTACGAAAAAAAAAAGTGCCAAAATATCCGTGTAAAAATAATGTAATTTTTGCTCATTTTAGTAATTGAAGGGTACAGGGCAAAAATCAACAGTCCAAAAATGATAATTTTCAGGATAAAGAAAACAAAATTCAAAAACGATAGAAATCTGATGCTTTTGAAGCTTTTCCAGACAAATATTTTTTTATATTTAGTTCGATATGTACTTTTTTTAATAGCTAAAGTAAAATGTTATGATTGTATTTTTATTTTGTAGTTAGTTATTTTTTATTTAAACAAAATGTAAACTCAGTTGGTTTTTCCTCTAGACAGAAAAAAAACTATATTTTTTAAATTCTTTATTTCGCTATTATAGGCATTTCTACATAATAAAGAACATAAAGAACAATATAAAGAACAAAATAATCCGTAAACTAAAGATTGAAATATTCTGATTTCTAAAAATCACTTTTATCATCAGGCACATCATCTGATAATGGATCTGGCACAGGCTGGTTAGCAGAGAGAAGTTGGCTGTAGTACTCTTTAGATCCCTCTCCTTCACAGAATTTCATTAGAACTTTATAGATCAGCACACTTTTCATTGGGCAGAGGTATAGGGATATGGTAGAGCTAGTTGGGTTCTTGAAGATATGGTACGTTTGATTTTCTCTTCTGGTTCTTCCGTTGATCTTTTATCAATGATATGTTTCCCTATGGTCAACGGTTTTGCTTTTTGTTTAAATGAACATTAACTGTTTTAGTTGCCTAATAGGAAAAGAGAACTTTTTCTTGTACAACATGGAGGACACAAAATTACCACATCCTTTAAACATAACTTGTTCACAAGATACCACAACAAACGGATACGGCTTGGTTCGGGCGGCTTCTATAACCTCTCTCCAGCCATCTGGAGTTTCAGCCTTAGCACTTTTGGGGATTAACCCCATATTTTTGTGCCATGAAGGAATGGCCGCGCAGTGGGTAAGTAATTATTACAGTGTCATATCTTTTTAGATCAGCAGTTACATAGTGGAGGAACTGGATGATGGTGTTGTTTTTGTTTTATCTTCCGCACGAATCGGCGAAGACATAAAGTTTCTTAACATCAGGATCCAGGTAGTTGTAGAAAAAATTATAGAGCATTGAGGCAACATCATCTGACCCTTTCTTTGCGACGGTTTGGTCGTAGGTGTACATTACTGAATCACCAGTTGACAGAATATGCACATTGAAAATATAGAATGACAGCTGTCTTCTGAAGTACACCTCAGCACAAGTTATATTCGGAGTAGGGAGATTTTTCCGAAATCTATATCGATAGCCTCTACAGTTGACGATTTTCTAGCTTCAGTTTTTGCACGCCTTTTCAGTTGATAGAGCCAATCTGCTCTCTTCAAATGAAGTGTCTTCTCAGTTTCTAGCTTCCTATCTTCCTCGTCTAACTTTACCTTTTTGTCATCACTTTTAGGCGGAAATTTTCCTATCCAGCTCAGTAATTTTGGCTTTATGCTCATCAAACAAACAGCACGTTTCGGTTCGTGGATAACCGAATACGATGTTGAACTCTGATGCAAAGATTTGCCTAAAAGTTTCACAACACATCTCAATATGGGGCTGTTTAGTCAAAAATAATGCAAGAAGCTTTTTAACATTCATATCTTCCGGGAGGTATACTCTTTTCGAGTCCTTCAAGCTGTAGTGCGATTTACGTCCCTTTAAGGAGCCAAAAAACTGCAATAACAACTCAGGGGTTTGTTGAGACATCTTATGAGATCTATTGGTATGCTTTCCCCTTCAATTAATCGGCGGTTCGCCAGTTGTTCTTAAAGATATTTTGATTGTATGTAATCGAAAGACTTTAATTCCAAAAAGTGATTGTAATGCTTTAAAACATACTGGCACCTCTTCTGCTCTGCCATTCTTAATAACTCTTACTTTGTAGCTGTAGGAGCTTTCATTCAATCTAACATCTTCTTCATTTTGCCTTGGCCTTCGTCGAAAAACCGGTCGTAATGAGATAAGGGCAGATAAGTAACTATTTTGGGCATCATGACTATTCTCACGTCCAATATTATTAAATTCTCTTAACACACTTTGCTCGGCGACATAAATATTCTCAAAGCACCTATACCGCTTGCATTGGAAGCTTTTTCCGGTTTCAAACGTCGAGGCCTTTAGCTTCTTAGCAACATCTCTAAGGTGGCCATATTTTTTACGCTTTTACATTGACTTATATTTTCGTCCGACATTTTAAACAATCTTACTAAACGTGTCGAAACAACAGCTAAGTAAACACAGTTGAAGGCTGAAGCTTAGCCGACTAGATAATGCAGAATTTTGGCTTCTCAATAGTGGGAGAAACTACACATTTTAATCTTTTATGGACTGTGTTGGTCATTCCCATGTTTCAGGTGGACTATGTTGGTTTTTCCACTGCATTATATATTTATAACTTTGAATATCTCATGACTCCGTTTGCTGTTCCCCTTGATCCTTGATGATTTCCCATAATAAAATACACGGCGCAAAGAATGTATTGAAATGTTTGTCTCATTTTTTTCATTTTTGGACTCCGCTGGTTTTTGCCCTGTACCCTTCAATTGGTAGTGCTAACTTTCCATCAAAATTAGCATTACCTTGGGGCTATTTCAAAAAGGAGATAAGCGACATTTCTTACGACAAATTCACAACAAAAAGCAACAAATTTTCTATAAAAAAATGTAATTTTCGTGATTAGCAGTGCTAACTTTCTATCAAAATTACCATTAACGGGGGTTTATTTTAATATGAGGAGGAGTGTCAATTTTTTTCCACGACAAATTTATGAAAAAAAAAAAAAAACGACAAATTATTCAAATAAAAAATGCCATTTATGTCCATTTTCGTGATCGGTATTGGTAACTTTACCGTGAAGTTAGCACTACTAGGTTTTTTTTAAGAGGATGAGCGACAAATTTTCTTTCTGCACGACAAAAAAGCGACACCCTCTTTCATATTTAAACATCCAAATTCCAAAGTGAAACCTACTGCTAAATTCAGGGACATAAAGAATTGATACCTGCTGTAAAGGTAACATTAATTCAGGGGTGTGAAGAATTGATCCCCCCTATAAAGGTAACATTTGGGAGGGAGAAGAGACCACGACAGGAGACAAAGGCAAGCGACAGGTAAGGCGACCGAAAACGGTATCTGTACGTCTAAACACATGAACATATTTGGGATAGCGGGACCGATGAAAAAGACGCGACAACACTTTTACACAGCAGTATTCGCTGCTTTGCTGCTGCCGTTTGTCTCCTGTCGCGGTCTCGCCTTCCCAAATGTCCCCTTAAGATTGAGATATACATTGAGCATCAGTAGCATATTATATATAATAGTAATAAGTATAGTTAGTAGTATGAATAGGTAAAATTTGCAGTAGTATATTTTATAGTAATAAGAATAGTTTGTAGTAATAAGTCTAGTTTTTAGTAATAAGTATATGTTATAGTAAGCATATTTTTCAGTAATTAGTATATATTTATTATAATACTTAATAAGTATACTTTGTAGAAATAAGTAAATTCTATAGTAAGTCTTACTACGATTAAGTATAATTTGTTGAAAATAGTATATATTGTACAGTGCTTCTCGAAAGTCCCCTCCCACCTCTTTCCTTTTGAACGGTGATACTTAGACTGATGAAATTTGGAGGGTGAAAATGAACTATTGTAAGCTTCTCTACTAGTGGTAACAGGTGACGAAACAGGCATCGGTGACGTCACCAGGCAAGTGAAACCAATAATATTAGATGGGACCTTATTTTAACCATCAAAAACGTCGTAATTCCAAAAAAAAAAAATAGTATGATTGAGTAGGTATTCTTAATACCTTTCAAACGAGGTGTCTCTTGATATAAGGTTCCATTTAATATTATTAACTTCAGTTGCCTGGTGACGTCATCGATACCCATTACATCACCTGTTACCACTAGTAGAGAAGTTTACAATAGTTCATTTTCACCCTCCAAATTTCATCAGTCTAAGTATCACTGTTCAAAGGAAAAGAGGGGGGAGGGGACTTTTGAGAAGCACTGTATAATAATATTACAGAATACCAAAAGACATTTTTTTCGAAACAGTTTATATTTAATTGTTACTATGTATAAAAATGTTTTTAAAGTAGGTCATGGAAAATATCACACATGTCGATTTTTTTTTAAATTAGTTTGTATTTAATTTATAGGCTTGCGTAGTTGTCACGGACATGATTTCTATCTCTGTTTTAATAGATCATGGCCTATTTTAGAAACATGTTTGTAAATTACTCGGTTTTCGACAAACATTGAAAATTTTAAGAACCTTTGTGGTTGTTTTTTTAATTTAAGATATTGGCAGTTTAGGATTTGTCTTAATAACTTAAGAACTATTTTTTCAAGTAAATACCTTTGCTCTATACCTATTATCGGACATCCAAGTAGGTTGTATACTCAAACATCTAGAATCGATGGTGAAATTTTTAGTTATTGACGATATCCAAAAAGGGAAGCAGTGTGGTCCTGGATCTGCTTTTACGGTTTGATCGTTGTATTCCCATCCACCTGGAAGCCATGGCTCTCCGAATTTTATTTTGGTTTTGAAGTAACCACTAGGATAATCGGAGTTTTTAATCATTTTGAGGACTTCATGATCTTCCTATTGTATAAAGAGATTAAAAAGTAAAAAAAAATAACTGATTATATTTAAATATGATAAAATTTCCACACAAATGCTGTATATCCCATAACTTTATCTTACTTTAATACACAAAGAGGTTGTGTATTGTTTAGTTCATTCAAATACTTGAAAATTAGTAAATAATTATAAAGTTATAAAGGAACAAATAGAAGAGCCGGAAGTGGCAAAACAAGGCTCAGGATGTGGAATATACTCCAGATCATAAAATTGGCTGTGAGCAATAGTGCCAATGTAGTTCAAACAAAGCTCACGGTGATTCTCATAGCAGAAAAATAAATCACCAGAAACAATATCACTGGAACATGCTCAACTATACAGGTAACAGATAAGCACTACTCACCCTGAACAGACCACGAATTGACTCAGGATTAGTACTAGAATGTCACGAAGCTTTGGCCGAAGTATCCGTCAACAATGTGGTCACCTTAAGATGGATTACAGGTCACGAGAGATAACAGTCTTGCTGATTCACTGGCCAAGAAGGCAGTCAACCAAATACTTTTTGGACCTGGCCCTTCTATGGGTCTGACAAAATCGGTAGTGACAGGCCTAATTAAAAAATATTCCCTTGTAAAATTCAAGGAAAGATGGGATGAAACAAGAAACTGCAGAGTTGCCAGGGACCTTTTAACCTTTTAAGTTATCCTGATAACACTACAGCAAACAAATACTTGCTATGACTAAACAGAATTTGCTCCTGGTCACAGCCACTCTGAGTGGTGATTACCATTTTTAAAATATGCAAATTCGGAAATTTAAACCCAAACCATATAAACCAAATCTATTATTGACAAGCGTAAGTAGAAGTGAGATGACAAGCGTAAGTAGAAGTGAGATGACAAGCGTAAGTAGAAGTGAGATGACAGTCGTAGCAGTTTTTTGTTTCAAGCGTGATCCTATTATAAACTATTTTTACGAGAGAAAGACACTGATTTCATTTCTGGTTATTTCTATTTTTAACGAAATAACAAAAAAAACTAAGAGCCAATACGATTTAAACTTTGTTATGATTAAAGGCCGATTTATAAACCTGCAGTTTCTATGGCCATTATCTTTGCAGTTGCCGTTGAACTTAAAACTTTGTTATGTTTGAACGTCAGAAAACTTCATGTAACAACGAACTGTGACAGAGAATAGGTCTATTTCCTTGCATCGAAAGTGTAGCTCTAAGTTACACAACTTCTGAATATATTGTTCCATCCATACATTTTATATAAATGGGACGATATTTTCAGAAGTGGCGTAGCTCAGTGCTACACTTTAGATGCAAAGGAAAAGATCTATGATAAGTGTGCAAACGTAAAAGTAGCTTTTTAACTTCCAACGGGAACTGCAACTGTGAGTGATAATTGCAACTGCAAGTTTATAAATCGGCCTGTAAAGGTTGACATCAGTTCACGAGGTTGCCGATATGACATAACCCCTTATTAGATCTTGTCCAAATTTATATGGGACGACCCCTGAAGTACCCCCTTTCTAACAAAAAAGAATCCTAGAAAGCAGACAACGTAGTAAAACATTATGGCTGAACATACATAAAAAAATATTCCGACGAACCTCCTCCTTTTTTGAAGTTTGTTAAAAATATTCCGACAAATTGAGAGCCTCCTCCTTTTTTGAAGTCGGTTAAAAAAGGTTTCTTCGACACAAAAAATTATCCGCTTCTTCATCTTGGAAAAATCGAATTTCGTTGAAAAACTTCGAAAAAAAGAGAAACGTGTTTTTTAATTTTTCTAGACGTCTGGAAGCATATACAGGGTGGACCAATCTTGTGGAAAACTTCGATATCTTCCTTGTTGGAAGAGATATTAAAAAAGTGTATTAAGAAAATTATGGACATGTTTGAGGTTAACATTTTAAAATTATTGGGAGGTATACAGGGTGTTGCAAAGCTCGTGTACGAACCAAACATATGTTTTTTTTTTAATGATAACCCCAGTATATTATTTTAGATTCTGTTTACTCATCTTTTTTCCATTCTTCTAATATATGGTTTGTCTATATTATATAGGGTACTTTTCAATGAATTGACATTTTTGTGAGAGAATCGTACATAATTCAACGTTAAGCAGCCAATTACATACCGAAGAAAAAAAATTTTTTTACCCACACGAATTTTATAATATGATGTATTATACTTTTTTTAGTTATATTTTTATTATCTGTTCATTTGTATACAGGGAGATTCAATACTCAGACCCATGATTTTCTTGTTTTATTTAAATGGGACACCCTATATTTTATATCACCAGTTAAATCATCTGTTCCAAGTCTTTCATTTTTATAAAGCATTCCCTATACCTAAAGTTAATATTTATCGATATTTTTTTGGCAATAAATGAAAATTATGGTTATTTCGATAAATTAAACTAGTTTTTCATAAAATACTCTTTATAAACAATAATAAATAATATGTGTTATTTTTTATCTAGTCGCCAATGCATTTAATATACCTGTCACCGTCCAGTTTTAATGTTTTAAGTAAATTACTATTAATAAAATGAACAATACGAATTTTTATATCCCAGAAATGGTGGATATGATTTATATTGTTTTGTTTTTGAGTTTTTTTTTTGTATTCACACATATTATTTATGGCTGTTGATAAAGAGTTTTTTTATGAAAAACTAGTTTAATTTATCGAAATAACCCTAATTTTCATTTAATGTTAACAATATCAATAATTATTAACTTTAGGTATAGGGAATGCTAAATAAAAATGAAAGGCTTGGGACAGATGATTTTACTGGTGATATAAAATATAAAGTGTACCATTTAAATAAAACAAGAAAATCAAGGGTCTGAGTATTGAGTCTCCCTGTATACGAATAAACAGATAATAAAAATATAACTAAAAAAAGTATAATACATCATATGATAAAATTCGTGTGGGTAAAACAAACTTTTTTCTACAGTGTGTAATTGGCTGCTGGACGTTGAATTATGTAGGGGAAACTGGCCTAAAATGACATACTCGTGTAAAATGACATATCGACCACATTGCTACTTTAAGACATGACAGCGCCGCCCTAAATAGCTAATTGCAAATCTTTTTCATCCGTGACCATAGTCAAGTTTATTCAGCGTGGCAGGCAGCACGCGTCTGGACTAAATACCAAAAAGTCGTTTTTCTCGATCCAAAAAAATATTTGTGTAGTCACTTAATTGGGCTGTAATAATTTATGAGGGGCAATAAGCCTAAGTTGGCTCAGTACAGGTAAACAAATAGACTTGTTTTCTTTATTTTAATGTAATTAAACTTTTAATTTATTTGTTTTATATACATTTTTAAGTAATTTTTAAGAAATAATTGTTTTGGGTAAAATGACATACCCATGTAATTTTAGGCTCCTACTGCTTGATGATCACGTTAACCACAAACAATTATAAGTTATCCACTTATTATACTCAGGCAATTACAAAGTGGCTCAAGAATAATTCTGGTCGAATTGTAACTTCTTTTCAAGTAGGAAAGCAATTTGCTGAAGCCTATGAACGTAGTGCATCCATGGAAAATTCCGTTAATAAGTTCAAAAAACTGGAATCCATTCATTCAACGCAAATATTTTTCCTTATTGGATGTTTGCTGCTTCTTTAAAAACATTTCTGAACAAAATGATCTCGAATCACTAACACTAAACCACCAGCCTCCACTCACACCTCCACTACCATCACACGCTATTGAGATTACGGTCATACCTGGATCATCAAATACCTCTCAGAATACTCCAAATAAAGAATGTATACTAGACTGTAATCAAATTTCCGTAGAGAGCATAATTTCAATCCCAAAGGTTTTCACGTCTTTTGAACGAACAACGCATAAAATACAAGGAACGGTTATGATAACCGCAACATCAAACTTGGAAGAACTCAAGGCTAAAGAGGAACAGAAACGTTTAGTTTTGGAGCGACGAGCAAAACGTAACCAGGGGCTCGATTCTCGAGTTCATTGGAAAATTTTCCCATGGGAAAAGATTCCACTACTTATATTCCCATGGTAATAGGTTATGCAATTCTCGAACTTGTCGGAATAGACATTCCCATGGAAATAATAGTTTTACGTATGTCTGATATTAAGTTCACGAATATTTCGAAATAACCAATAACATTAAAGATATTTTAAAATTTACTGTTGGTATTATTTGTATTTGTTGTGGTTTTTGGGTAACCGATTACCTGCCGAGCCTCTGCGCTGGAGCAGATGCCGTGCCGAGCAATCACTAGCATGACCGAGGACAATATTCGATTATGTATAATTAAAACTTATCGAGTTATTTTTAGTTTTTCTTTTCACATATTGAAAAAATAAAAAGTAGCTTTTGTATAGAAGAGCAACGAAAGTTTCGAGAAACTAAGAAATTCTTTCGTTAACGGAAATAATAAAATTTTCGAAAATGTCTTATTAAATTTACTACAAATTTCTCAATTTGTGTTACCTATTTGCCAGTCCCTTAGCAGCTCCCGCAATTTCTAACTAGTTTAAGAAAATCAGTTTCTTAGTGAAAGAGAGGTAACAATAATATACCCACATAAATAAAATAATATCAATTTATAAATACACCAAAAAAATGTTTTAACTCTAATTTTACCAAAAATCCAAGATATCCAATAATCTTTGGTTATGTCTTAGTCTTTCGCGTGGTCTTTCGTCAAATTTTCGACTTTAATGCGCAAACTCTAGTACAATTCCCATTGGAAAACACAATTTCCAATGCTCGTAAGCAGGGGAATATTTTCCCATACTTCTCATTGGAAAATATTCCACCGCTTATGCCGAGAATACGAAAACTGAATTCACATGGGAAAATTTTATTTTCCCATGGGAATAAAAGTCGAGAATCGACCCCCAGGTCAGAGTCAAGATGTGGGACGATGAAGATGAACAAGAAACCCAATACCCATTTGCTGGGATTGAAGATGATGAAGAAGACACAAGAAGCTTCGTCTGTGGTGTCAAATATGTAAGAAGTGAAGTCATACAGAATGCGCTGGTGTTTCCCCACAAACAAAGTTTTTACTGGCGAACTTGACGACTAATTTTTTGTTTTTTTTTTAACGTCTTAAGTTGTTTTACGTTCTAGTTGGGTATGTTGACCTGTTTACTTTTGTTTACTTTGGTTTTTAAAATAAAACTCTTTTGTAATGCTTCTTAATTTTTTATTTTCAACCCTTTCTATGACTATGTCATTTTATCTTAATACAAGTCTAAAATGATATAATGCACAGTTTTTTATTAATTTGGATGACATTGCTTCAAAATGTAAAAGTTCAAGGTTTTGTATCTTTAACAGGAACTGGCATAAACTAACGACCCCATTAAACACTAAATGAATGCTTAAAGTTTTGTTTTTCCAAGTTTTGTCATAGTTTTTGCTCAAGGTATGTCATTTTAGGCCAGTTTCCCCTACGATTCTCTCACAAAAATGTCAATTCCTTGAAAAGTACCCTATATAACATAGACAAACCATATATTAGAAGAATGGAAAAAAGATGAGTAAACAGAATCTAAAATAATATACTGAGTTATCATTAAAAAAAAACATATATTTGGTTCGTACACGAGCTATACAACACCCTGTATACCTCCCAATAATTTTAAAATGTTAACCTCACACCTGTCCATAATTTTCTTAATACACTTTTTTAATATCTTTTTCAACAAGGAAGATATCGAACTTTTCCACAAGATTGGTCCACCCTGTATATTACGGAAAAAAGCAAAATTCATCGGGAGAAACCTATTGAGTCAGCTAAGGATTATTAAACATGTTAGAGAATAATAAAAAACTAAAAATTTACCAATTTTTGTGAAATGAGGTATGGAAAGATAAGGGGGGAAATTTAGTACAAAAATATGTTTTTTCTACTACCGTGCGTAAAGTGCGTACTTTACGCACTCCACGAAGTGTGTAAAGTTGTACTTTTTTCACTAGTGCGTAAAGTAAAACTCTTTACGCACTAGTTGAAAAAAGTAAAATTTGACAAAATTTGTACATAACAACAAAATATAACGTTTTATTTTATATTAACATTTTTTTGTTATCTCCTTCTAAGACAAATAAATAAATTATTTTTGCTTATATCTATTTAGTGTCCAATAAATTATCAACAGTTTATTTTAATTATAATTTTCTTTAAATGTCATCGATTTAATTAAAAGTAAACATACAGTGGATGTCGATTTTGGTAAAAGTAAGTTGGCCGTGGCTGTGTGGATTAGAAGAACTGTCAATCTCTAAACTTTTAATTAGTACCTACCTTATAACAGAACACGACAAAAGTATACTTAAGTTCAAGATTAGATTCTAAAGCCAATTTAGCATTTTTTTAAACTCAATCAAGTTTGAGAAGGTAAAAAGTTTTACTTTTTAATGTTTGTTTACTTAAATTCAAATTTTATTTGCAGTTTATTATATCTGTCATAATCGATATGGATTCAAATTTATCTAGCGATAGCGAATTTGATAATACTCCCCCAGATATCTTATGCAGTGCACAAAAGGCCACTGAAAATTTATTGCCAGAAAAATCTGCATATATTTATCAGCAAAAATACAATGCATTTATAGAATGGTGTAGGAAGAATAGGGTGACAAAATATTCGGAAAACGTTATTTTAGCATATTTCTCTGATGAATTGAAGAATTGCAAAGCTTCTACCCTATGGTCGATTTGTTCTATGCTTAAAAGCACCTTAAAATATAAAAACAACGTTGATATTTCGAAATTCAACAAGTTAATAGCGTTTCTCAAACAAAAAAATAAAGGTTATAAACCAAAAAAATCCAAAATTTTTGAACGAGAAGATCTAATTAATTTTCTGTTGAAAGCTCCAGATTCCAAGTTTTTAATGATCAAAGTAAGTAAATGCCTAATGTTTAATAAATTATTTGTAACATTACAATATGTTATTTTTTAGGTAGCTTTTATAATTGGAATTGCGGGAGCTTGTCGCCGGGAAGAATTATGTAAAATGACAATTAACGATGTGGAAGATAAACAAACAGTGTATATTGTCAAAGTATCAGAAATCAAAAATGGAATAGAACACATTTTTACGATTTTAAATCCAAATAATTCTGCAGTTGATTATTTATCTTTCATAAAAAAATATACTTCATTAAGACCATCAAATATAAATTGTAACAGATTTTTTTTAAATTCGCAAATGGAAAATATTCTAAACAGCCTGTAGGGATAAATACTTTTGGTAAAATGCCAAGTGTTATAGCAACGTATCTAAACTTGCCCAATCCAACGGCTTTTACAGGACACTGCTTTAGGAGGTCTTCAGCCACTATGCTGGCAAATTCTGGAGGAGACCTTCTAACGGTCAAAAAACATGAAGGATGGAAATCATCTGCTGTTGCAGAAGGCTACGTAGACAGCACAATAACACAAAAAAACAAAATGTCTAATAAAATTTTGATGGATGACAGTATGCCATCCACTTCCAAACAAAGCTACAATTTTTCCGTTGACAACTCTAATGAAGAATTAGTGGAACCACTCGACAGTGAAACTAGAGTTACACAAAATATTTCAACCTCTTTACTTGAAAAGGCCAAATCCATACCACTCGAAGCTCAAAATAGGGTTACAGACGTAATATCACAACATTTTTTAAACTCTGTGCTGGAAAAGGCCAAAACCTTAGGTTTTGGTAATTGCAATAATTGCACATTCAATATTAATATTCATAAGAGTTAAAAACCTATTTTTTTAAATATTTCATTTGTTAGTCATTTTGTTCTGTAAGAATTATAAATATGTAAAGTTCCAATAAATTTATTTTTGTTGCTGTGTACAATTTTTGGCAAATTTTACTTTTTTTCACTAGTGCGTAAAGTAAAGTACTTTTTTTCACTAGTGAAAAAAAGTAACTTTTATATTTCTAATATAAGTGGATTATGTGTACGGTAGTAGAAAAAATATTGTATGCCACTCGTGTGTAAAGACCCTTTTTTGACTCATGTTATTGTAACTTTACACACTTGTTGCATAAATAACTATTATAATATTGTCAAATTTTGATACTAAAACACGATAACGCAATAATACTTACATCTCTGTCTTGTACATTTTTACTAGAAAGTATAATAAATTCAGGAATATCTTCGCCATTAACACAGTTAGTTATCCAGTTCATTTCCAAGTAAGAGTCTTGTGATGATACGGTCAGATGCACTCTACCACATTGAGAAATTCCTGTTAACAATTTAAACCTACATAATTTTTTTACATGTCTGTATATAGTTGATTATAAATGCAAGCAATGTTGGAATTTCCTTTCTTATATTAGTCATATTTGTTTTTAAATTGTTTTTCCTGTTTTACGTGTTTACAAAAAACATTTAAAAATAATTATAAGAATTTTCAGATAAGTTGAATGTTCAGTAAATATTTCCAGATATATATTTGTGAAAATAATAAGTAGGTATAGAATTTTTAAAGGTGCGTATAGATGTAACATAACGGGCCTTGCCCGTGCCTGGCCCTGGCCGTGCATGGTCCCCGATTCGTCAGATTTATACCGTGTAGTGGTGAAGTGGAATCGAGGGCTAAACACATCAAAAAATGTGTACACAAGAATTCCTAACATAAAGAATACCTGAGAATTACCAGAGACTTCCCAGGAAAACCCAGAGACTTCCCGGCAATACACAGAGAATACCTGGGGGCACTGAGAGAATAACTAAGTATATCCAGGTAATGATAATAAGAAAGTATTTCTAAAGGTTTTTCTAGAGTTAGTAAATAAGGTCCTTAATGAGGTTCTTAAATTATTAGGAAAATAAACAATTGTTCCGGATTTATTAACTCGAGGATTAGCATTTTTCCCTTAATTTAGATTATATTTTACTTTTGATAAAATATGAGGAATAAAAAGATTCTTATCTTTTTATTAACTGTGGGAAAAATATATTAACTTTGGAAAAAATCATGTTAATAAATAATAAATTTAATTTTTTAACATTTTGCTTCCTTAATATTTGACAAATTAATGCGCATATATCGTCAAAACTAAAAATCTTTTTTCGCTTTTTTATAACATCTTCATAATTTAAAAATTTATTTTATAGCACCCTATAGCACAGTGTGTGTTCATAAATTCAAATCTGACAAAAATATCGAAAAAAATATGGTTCAAATATATAAAAATTACTAATGTTATGTGAGCCATTTCATTATTCAGTCATGCTCTACTCCTCCAAGTCCCTCTCTGTCTTATTTGGTCTTTGAGGCTCAACTTGTCCGATTATCACATAATTAAACCCTTTAAGACCAAACATATGTGACGACTATGGCGGAGGCACTTTCGCGAACATTCCTGAGTCAACGTGATAATGTTTCTGGTATATTCCAGATATGAGATGTTTTGGTGGAGGAGCATTCTGGAATCCACCAATTTGTATATAAATATTGGTGGAGGATCAACGAAAAGTCATTAGTAGACAGACAGTAGTGAATATAAATAGTGAACGATTCAAAGATATTCGAAATATATAAATTAGAAAAGTAGTGTTTAAATAAATTATTAATAAATAAACTGTTGTTTTAAAATAAACAAACATCACATTGGTGGAATAATGTAAATAAATAGTGGACAATAATGATTAAAAAACTGTGTGAATTAAAAGTGGCTGAATTGCGTCGCGAATGAGAAGATCGTGATCTGGAGACTACAGGTAAGAAAGCTCGTGTTAAAGCCCCAACTTTTGACGGGAAGATGCCATGGACGAACTACCTTAAGCAGTTCGAAACAGCTGCCAGAGCAAACGAGTGGTCTAAACGAGAGAAGGCAATAAATTTGACCATCGCCCTTCGAGGAGACGCTTTGGATGTCCTTCAGACTATACCCGTGAAAGAGACAGATGATTTTGAATAACTTAAAAAGAGACTAAATATGCGATATGGCCACGAACACTTGGAGAATTTATACCAGTCACAGTTGAAGAATCGTAAACAGAAGACGAGACTATTCAGGAATATGAAGTAGATATTGCCAGGTTAGTGCGATTTGCTTATCCATTAGCTCCGGAAAACATGATGGAATGTTTGGCAGTCCAAACATTTGTTGATGGACTTCGTACGAGATGCAGAGAACACTTCGTCTAGCCCGTCACATAAGTCGATGTCTTGTCCGCTGCCATTGAATATGAGGCAGCTATACAGGCTTCTGGTGGATACAATAAAGTGAGGACCATAAAAGAGGAAGAAGAGGAAGGTAAACTCGATCAACTGGTGAATATGATGAAGAGCCTTACTGACAGAAAGATAAAGACGAAGACTAACAGGTGCTGGAATTATGGTGAACTAGGACATCTACGCAGTTCATGCAAACGTAAGGGTCACAACGAATCAAGACAACACGCCGCAGGAAAACTAGAGCGGGTCGGCCTAGAGGGGGCAGCTTCGACCCGAAACCGTTTCTAAGACCCTCTCATACTGATAGCCTCTTTGAAATGTCGCGATGATAGTATACGTAGACGGCGAAGTAAATGGTAAAAAGTATACACTGTTGGTGGATACTGGAGCAACTAGGACTATTATACGACCAACAACCATAAATAACCGTAAGAAACTTCTACCAACAAGATTGCAACTGCGGACTGCCACAGGTGAAAGTGCCAACATCCATGGGGAAATCCACGTTCAATTGGGAATTGGTATAGAAAAGTTATGTTATACTTGGAATGGATGTTATGAACTTACATGGTTTCCAGTTAGACTTTAAGAACAGAGTGATCAAAGTTGGTGCCCAAGAGGTATTTCTAGATCCATGTGGGGACAGTACCGTGCCAGTTGCTGTACAGGAGGATACGGTGGTTGTACCTGGCAGAAGTGAAACCATTATAGTAGCACGGCTACAAGAAACTATGGAAGAAGGAACACCTGTCATGATGGAACCTTGGAACCACGATGAAGAGGTTGGGCGAGGAATTCTGATCGGAAAGGGGTTGGTCACGACTGCTAAAGAGATTCCAGTTCGTCTTATACACGTTAATGATCACCCAATTACCAAAGAAAGTGGACTACTAAGAACAACTATAGTCAACGATGAGTGGGCCCCTGCTAAAATTAGGGAAGAACAAGAGAATGATACCGTTTTAAAGAAGATATGACAATGGAAAGAGGAAAATCGTCGACCTACTTGGCAAGAAGTATCTAATCTCTCTCCAGTACTTAAGTCGTATTTGGCTCAGTGGAACTCCTTTATCCTGGAAGATGGCTTATTAAAGCGAGTACTTGAAAATAATGATGGTTCCGAGAAGAGAAGACAGTTGGTCATTCCAAGAAGTAGAGTAGCTAAAGTACTCCGTTAGTTACACGACAGTCCATCAGGAGGACATCTCGGTGTTAGAAAAACCCTTCAGAGAGTTCGGGGAAGGTTCTACTGGATGAACAGTTCCGATGATGTAAAGGACTGGTGTAAGAAATGTACCGCCTGTGCTATGAGTAATGGACCTCAACGAAAAAGGAAGGCTCCCATGAAGCAATATAACATTGGTAATCCATTTGAGAGGATCGCCTTAGATATTGCTAGACCATTCCCCGCGACCGAGGATGGTAATAAATACATTTGGGTGGTTATAGACTATTTTACAAAGTGGGTGGAAGTCTACGTCGTTCCAAATCAAGAGGCCGTAACTGTTGCAGATGTATTGATAGAAGAGTTTATCTGTCGATTTGGAGTTTCTGGTATATTCCAGATATGAGATGTTTTGGTGGAGGAGCATTCTGGAATCCACCAATTTGTATATAAATATTGGCGGAGGATCAACGAAAAGTCATTAGTAGATAGTCAGTGGTGAATATAAATAGTGAACGATTCAAAGACATTCGAAATATATATAAATTAGAATAGTAGTGTTATAAAATAAATAATTGTTTAAATAAATTAATATTAATTAAACTGTTGTTTTAAAATAAACAAACATCACACTAAGTAATGTGTTTTATACATTTTTATTGAGACATTTTTTTATTTACTAAAAAAAATAAAAAATTTTATATTTTAGTAATAACGTGTTACTTATTTTATTTAACAAAGTAATAAAAAATAACAACAAATTATTTAAAAACTTAATAAACTGTTGCACACTTATATTCTTTATATATTTTTCTTATTTCTTCCTTTGATTCTTTGGGTTATACTAAACGGTTTAAAACCTAATAAAGTTATTGGTTTTTTTTATAACATCCTCATGATTTAAATATTTATTTTATAGAACCGTATAGCACAGTGTGTGCTCATAAATTCAAATCTGACAATAATATCAAAAAAAATATGGTTCAAATATATAAAAATTACTAAATGTGTTTTATAAATGCCATGTTTTTGTACAACTTTTTTTGCCAAATATCTATTAGAAATTCTATACTGATGATGCATAAGTCAAAAACTTGAAAGGAAGCATACTATATAATTTTGCTAAAAATATTTTCTAATTAAAAATTTTAGTTTTAGTACAATAAAAATTTTAGTTTTAGTACAAATTTCTGGGATTTTAATTTCTAATAATTTTAATTTATGAAATGATTATTTCAGTGTTCCAATTTTTAAATGATATACTTAATTAACTATTACATATTTATAATATTTTATTTTTATTTCGGCGATATTTAAAATGACGCAATTTACTGTTTATAAAAAAGAAATAAACTATCAAGGTCTGTTGCAATATAAATAAAGTCTATCAAAGCGTAACATTTAGTCATTATTTTTTATAATTTGTTAGCAACTTGTCTAAAAGTATCTAATAATAGGAATAAAACAAGTTGTCAAAGTAATTTAAAAAACCGACTTCAAAATTGTGCAGATGGCCTTGAAAATTACGTTTTTTGAGTTTCTCATAGATCATCAGACCCTGATCAATTGTATATGGGACCATTCGTGAGGTATTCCCTTTCTAACAAAAAAATAATCGTAGAAATCGGACAACGTGGTCAAGAATTATTGCTGAATATAAAAAAATATTTCGACGAATTGAGAACCTCCTCCGTTTTTTGATGTCGGTTAAAAAGAGAAAAATATTATTTAATTTTTCTGGAAAATTATAAGTTTGAGCAGTAATACATATACCTGTAGATGTAAACGCCAATATTTTATGGTGTGATTTAAACTTTGCGTCACAGTCGTTCGTCGTATTCAAATTTGACACCTCATAAAAATTATTGTCAAATAAATTTTCAAAAATGCATGCCGCCCTATGTAACTCGTTTTCAAATGTAGAGTGCTATAGAAAAATTGGAAGAAAATTGTTGCACTCCCCAAAAAATTAATTTTTTCTACGTGTGACAGGAGCTTATGCAAGCCCTTTGAAGGGAAGTAAATAATACTAAGGGAAAGTGCAATCTACTTATTGTTGGTTAAGTAACGGGCCATATGCAAGCCCATTGAAGGGAAGTTATCAGTAATATTACTAGAAACTGCTGAATATGTACTACTTATGCTTGGTAAAGTTACAGGCCTTATGCAAGCCCACTGAAGGGACGTTAACTTTATTATTATCGGAAACTGCAGGCCATTTGCAGAAATTTCACTACTTATTGCTAGTAAAGTGACAATAGCCTTCTACCTCCTGTTGACAGTCGTACATAAAAATATCGCATAATGGTGAATACCAAAATTTCGAGATTCTCAATGCTAATCAATTTTATTTTTGTAAGAGACTGTACAAAACACATGTATATAAACACATATGGACATGTTATAATTTTAATAAAATTCATCAGGCAATCCTCTTAAATAGATGAACGGTATGGTATAGAAATTTGTGACTTCCTCATACTAAATTTAAGGGTGTGTTTTGGTTCAAACAAAACCGCTGATTCCAGTTCTCAAACACAATGGACGAATTAATTTTTCAAGAACACGTCGCGAGTTTATAACAACCTTTTAGCTGATCGAGTGTTACTTTGTAACGTGAGTGTTACAATGTTGTCAAGTTGTAATAATTTTACGAAACTACTCGTCAACTGCTTTAAAAATATTTTTATTTTAAAAATATATATCTTTTTACTAAGACGGTCCAAAAATTCAGCGATTTTTTATAAAATTTTATAACTTCTTGATTTAGTTTTTAAAAAATATGGTAAAAGAATCGTTTTCGAGATATCTTGAAATAAATGCATTGCTTGTGTACATGACAGGCTTCAAGAGTGTTAATTAGGCAAATTTTGATTGTTAATATCTCGTTTCACAGATAGTCAAAAAATCTAATTTCTTTCATAAACCTTATATTTCAAAAAGATAGAAATCCACAACTATGCGAAAATATATTCTTAATAAAATCTCTATATTTAAAAACGCTACTTAATACCCCGGTATAAAATTGTTAACCTTACCTGCATGTGACCAAATGCCCTCAATCAAAAAGACAACAACAAAAACACTCGCACAGACGAGCGACATCGTTTGACCTCTTAATTCTTAATAAAATCCAATGAAGACTGACTTTAGTTAGTTTACATTTGTTTAAAAACACATTTTAGTGACTCATTTGCGAAATTAAATGTTATAACTGCCCTCCGATATGTAAACCGATAGTATGTATGACACTTCCAATCACTACTGAATTCGATAGTGATTAATGAATGTATAAAATACATGTGTACTAGCGCGTATAAAATATACATGTGTACGTCATAATATATCTTGTTTCTTGGACCCCACTATTATAATATACGAGGGTAACATGAATTGTTTCGGTGAATATATTTTTATAGTGAATTGTTAGAAGATAATTAAATTTGATTTTAGATTAAGCTCGTAAAATCACGCTTTACATTTGACATTTTACTTTATTTACAACTTTATTCCAACATGAAAAAATACAGCATTATTATAATTTCTACGCTCTTGAAAATTTCTAGTATCGTTAGAAACCAATTATCATATGGCATTATACAACTAGACAACTGAAAATTCTCTATTTAGTCCAGGGCATTTAGATCAAAATCACCCGAATAGCGGAACTTTGCTCATACACCAGATATCGAGATGCGGTTTTCTTCATTGTGTTCAGGAAGGTCCAGGGAAAAAAGTTTACATGGTCTGGCTTAGCGCGTTTTTGGAAAAATGCCTTCTGGGCCGGAAAATGCATTTTCCAATTGCATCTTAACCTGCACCATTATAGGAACGACTGGAAACTCGGAAAAATCGCTCGGAAATCATTATTCGGGGGTTTTTAAGGCTGCCGAAATCGATTATGGCATTAGAATTATCCGGGAGTGCACGGGGGTGGCTCTGTGGGGGTGCGCGGGGGGTGAATTGGGGGAGAAATGGCAGCGTGCATGAAAGTCGCTCCAAACTCGTTACTCGGTGGTTTTCGGGGATGCCTAATTCAATTCTGGCATTGGAATTACTCGGGGGTGGCTCTGTGGGGGGAGTGCGGGGGGTGAAATGGCAGCGTGCATGAAAGTCACTCCAAAATCGTTACTCGGGGGTTTTCGGGAATGCATAATTCAATTCTGGCATTGGAATTACTCGGGGGTGCACGGGGGTGGCTCTGTGGGGATGCGCGGGGGGTGAATTGAAGGAGAAATGGCAGCGTGCATGGAAGTCGTTCGAAACTCGTTATTTGGAAGGTTTTCGGGGATGCCTAATTCAATTCCGGCATTGGAATTACCCGGGAGTGGTCGAGGTGGCTCTACCGGGGTGCCTGGGGGCTCATTCGGGGGCCATGGAAATGGCTTGAAAATCCTTACTCGGGGGTTTTCGGGGATGCCAAATTCATTTCCAGCATTAGATTTCCCCGGGGGCGCTCGGGGTCCCGCTGTGGGAAATGGTAAAGGAGAAAGTGAAAAATCACAAATTATGAAAATAATACTTTATTCAAATAACAAATAGGAGTTTTTATTAATGTTGAATTATTCATTATCAACTTCAATTTTTAACTTAAATACTAAACATCTTGTTCAAACTCTTCTTCCCCTTCTTTATCTTCTTCCCTTTCCTCATCTTCTTCCTCGTCACTATTCTCAGCCCCGTTGAAAGTGCCTTTTTGGTTTGAGCAATTGCCATCGCAATGCTTGCATGCAAGTGAGCACTCACCCACTTCGGCGGCACACCCGCACCTCGTGCAACAGTCGGTTTCACAAGAACAAGAAATTTTGCTGACAGGACTCAGCTCTCCATCCACCAATTCCCACCCCCATTCCAACGGATCTGGTGGCTTCAGCATACATTTTTGTTCGATAGCTTTGGACGAGCTCAATCGCAACCCCACAGAACCACCCTAGAGCGCTCCCGGGGAAATCTAATGCCAGAATCGAGTAATGATGCAATTGGAAAATGCATTTTCCGTCCCAGAAGGCATTTTTCCAAAAACGCGCCAAACCAGACCATGTAAACTTTTTTCTCTGGACCTTCCTGAACACAATGCATAAAACCGCATCTCGATATCTGGTGTATGAGCAAAGTTCCGCTACTTTTCCTAACTTCCCTGGACTAATTATACGAAATGTACTGCCTTTTTTAGGCAATACGTCGAGTTTCGAGAATTTTCAATTGTTGAGTTGTATACAGACTATATCATGAACAAAAAAATTATCGATAAATTCGGCAGAAATATTGTTAAAATGAGAAAATTATAACAACATTTTAAAGTAGAGATCTAGTCACAGTTTTGACATAAGTGAATATATGAACTCTTGTATGTTCACCTATACATTGACAGCAACTCGCATACTTGATTACAGATATATTTATTAACGGCTGCTGTCAAATATATTTTTTGTATCTCAGGGACTAAAACATGCATTTTACTCCCTCATTTTAGAGACTGAAGTGCCACTTTTACTCTCTTTGGGACTAAAATATTTTACAAATAACAAAAACAATAGAAACCATAGCAATAAACTACTTTATTCGGGAGGTAAGTAATATAACAAGACCTCTTTTATAAACGCATAAATTTAGTGTATACCTAATTGATTACGTATAATGTGCTGCCTATATTCAAGGAACTCTCAACGAGGACATTGAAGTTTATTCGCTCCGCTCCGGCAACAATTTTCACTTTCGGCATTAAAAGTGACACTTTAGTCCTTTGATACATAATATATTATATTATCAGAGTATAAGCTAATATTTCGTGGAACGTTTCAAAATGTTATTTTATTGGGTATTTATTAATTTAAATTACATTTAGGGTTCTAGAAATAATCTCAAAAAATAAAACTCGACCTTAATAAATTAGCGCCTATTTCTATTGTTACTAAATTTAATCCATTATTCATAATTTAACGTATTGTAGATAGAATACATCGTACCTATGTCGCAATCCTTTAGATATACCAAATCTTCCCATCAACAGTTCTTTTGTTTGAAATGCCCACATAGAGTTTTAATGTTAGATAAAGAGTTGCTACTGTTATTTTTTTTTACCCCAATTGTGTCTTTGTAAATGTTTTTTATATGATACTAAACGTTTAGAACAGTGGCAGCATATATATCGTTCCTAGTGCCGATCTTAGACTAGGTAAAAAAAGAGAGGATGCGTAACAAGTATATCGAGCATACGTAGTATTCTGTGCCGATTATCTATTGGCCGCCATTATTTTGGTGCTAAACATTTCGGTGACACCAAAGTTTTTATTCGTATTTATTTCTGATTTTTGAATTAAACGACATTTAATAATTGGTTTAATACAATGGTTTATTGTGTGGCTTATCAGTGTAAAAGTTATAGCAGCAAGAAAGAAGCAGATATTACATTTCACAGGTAAATGATAAACATCAATCGTTTTTACTTTATATATTTTCTTATATTTTTCATTTTATTTGGAGTTATACAACTTGGTATTTACATATTGTACATGTCTCACTCCAGAGTAATTTTACCCACCAAGTTTGTTTATTTTATGCTTTTCATTGATATTTAGGCAATTAATAATATTAAAATGGTCAAACAAGTAATTTTTTCCAATGGCGTGTCGTACAATTCTAAATAATAACTTTTATTGAATTCTAATGTAGTAATCTGCTGAATGTAGGATTAGATTCATGAAACTCGGAGTACCTATACTATAGAAAGTATATAAATTTTATATTTTTCAGAGAGTTGCAGATACCTTACAACTAAGTCTTACAACGGTGAATCGTAATGCAACCAAGCACAACAGAGGCGAAGTTCCTAAAAGCCCACCTGAGAAACGACAATCTTCAAAACCTATTACAACTTAATTATAATAGCATTTTAAAGTTGATAACACATTTGATTTTCTTATAATATTCAAGCTAGGAAAAAAGAAAACACTATCACGATGATGTATCTTTAAGTGAAGGAAAAAATCTACCTGACAACGTCGCAGGTTTTTATCACGTGACGTCACTGCCTTCTTATCGTAAAATACTATAGTGCGTTCATTGCACGTACTGTGATAAAACACTGAACCTTTTTACTGCGGCCCTTTCTATGCGGCCTCAGTATTGCATTCGTACAGACGAAAACAATTTCTAACCCCCATTTTTTAAACTTTTTTCACGATTCCAATCATTCTGAGTCAAAAAATACAGAAACAAAATAGTCTGGTAGTCTGTGCGTACGTATGGCGGCACGATAACTCTAGAACGAAAGTTCTGATAGACTTGCGATTTTGATTTTCTTGAATAATTGCTTCTAACTTAGAACCCTATTGATTTTCAGAATTTTCGATTCATCCTAATTACTTTAATATCAATGTTCTTAAAATCCGCCCATGCATTTCTTATGTGACTTATTTTACGTAATCCAATTATTCCTAACGTCTAATATTCCTTACATTGCAAACATTCCAATATTAAGCACTTTAATGACCTGTAAAACAACAGCTCCTGATTGTAAATGTAAGGTTTATAAGGAGGTTGCGACTTGCGACCTTCATAGTTGCAACCGTAGCCATTTTGGAGGCTATTTTTATTATAATTACACAAGTCAATAATATATTTATTTGCTGGTTAATTGAATAGGTAACGGTTTTACTGTGTTTTTCATATTTTATGAACCTTTTGAGATGTCTTTGCTAACTGAATTTAAAAACCTGTCTTTCAAAAATGATACAAATAAAAATGAAAATATACATTCAAAGTATCTTCAAACGTATGGATGCCAATAACAAACAAACAAACAAACAAACAAACAAACAAACAAACAAACAAACAAACAAACAAACAAACAAACAAACAAACAAACAAACAAACAAACAAACAAACAAACAAACAAACAAACAAACAAACAAACAAACAAACAAACAAACAAACAAACAAACAAACAAACAAACAAACAAACAAACAAACAAACAAACAAACAAACAAACAAACAAACAAACAAACAAACAAACAAACAAACAAACAAACAAACAAACAAACAAACAAACAAACAAACAAACAAACAAACAAACAAACAAACAAACAAACAAACAAACAAACAAACAAACAAACAAACAAACAAACAAACAAACAAACAAACAAACAAACAAACAAACAAACAAACAAACAAACAAACAAACAAACAAACAAACAAACAAACAAACAAACAAACAAACAAACAAACAAACAAACAAACAAACAAACAAACAAACAAACAAACAAACAAACAAACAAACAAACAAACAAACAAACAAACAAACAAACAAACAAACAAACAAACAAACAAACAAACAAACAAACAAACAAACAAACAAACAAACAAACAAACAAACAAACAAACAAACAAACAAACAAACAAACAAACAAACAAACAAACAAACAAACAAACAAACAAACAAACAAACAAACAAACAAACAAACAAACAAACAAACAAACAAACAAACAAACAAACAAACAAACAAACAAACAAACAAACAAACAAACAAACAAACAAACAAACAAACAAACAAACAAACAAACAAACAAACAAACAAACAAACAAACAAACAAACAAACAAACAAACAAACAAACAAACAAACAAACAAACAAACAAACAAACAAACAAACAAACAAACAAACAAACAAACAAACAAACAAACAAACAAACAAACAAACAAACAAACAAACAAACAAACAAACAAACAAACAAACAAACAAACAAACAAACAAACAAACAAACAAACAAACAAACAAACAAACAAACAAACAAACAAACAAACAAACAAACAAACAAACAAACAAACAAACAAACAAACAAACAAACAAACAAACAAACAAACAAACAAACAAACAAACAAACAAACAAACAAACAAACAAACAAACAAACAAACAAACAAACAAACAAACAAACAAACAAACAAACAAACAAACAAACAAACAAACAAACAAACAAACAAACAAACAAACAAACAAACAAACAAACAAACAAACAAACAAACAAACAAACAAACAAACAAACAAACAAACAAACAAACAAACAAACAAACAAACAAACAAACAAACAAACAAACAAACAAACAAACAAACAAACAAACAAACAAACAGTTGAATTCTAGGACTTCTAAACTTCAATCTATAATTACGATAAGTACTAAACATAATCATACTCTTGAAACAGCTGAGACACTTCGATTTCTTCAAGCCAAGCCATATCTAAATGATTTGTTTTTCGAATATTTCAATGATAGTATGACAATAACAGAAGCAAAAAATGCATGAACAGCAGTATGAATTTAATGAGATTACGGTATTGATTTTAACCAGTGGAAGTAAAAATTCTACTTACAGGACGATGCAAAATTGGTATCATTCATGGAGAAATTTAAACTTGGGACTAAGGTCAAGAGAAGGGTTAAACAAGGTAAGTCTTTTATCTTTTAGGAAACGTTTAATACTACTATCGGCTTTCAGTATTTCGTTCCAAGATAAATTATTTCTCGTTTTGTTTTACTCTAAGAGTTTACTCTTGTGGGCTTCAAACTCGATAAGGTGGAAACCAACATTTTAGCGTCTCTCGAATTGCACACCTTTTAGAAAAATACGTTCTTAGCCAAACTTTTTCGCTATCCTATATACTGTTATGTGAGCCATTTCATTATTCAGTCATGCTCTAACCTTACAAGTCCCTCTCTGTCTTATTTGGCCTTTGAGGCTCAACTTGTCCCATTATTATACATAATTAAACCCCTTGAGACCAAACCTATGGGACGACTATGGTGGACGTGTTTTCGATGATGTTCGAGAAAGGACGAGATAATGTTTCTAGTGTATTGGAGAGAATATGTGAAAATTACTAGAACGTTCTGGAGCTTCCACCATTTTTTTAAATTTGTATATAAATTGGCGGAAGAACTCGGTGCAATCAAGTTGTTATATGGACAGTGAAGATAAATAGTAATTAGTAGATAGACAGTGGTGAATATAAATAGTGAGCGATTTAAAAACATTCGAAATATATATAAATTAGAATATTAATGTTATAAATAAATAAGTGTTTAAATAAATTATTAATTAATAAACTGTTGTTTGAAAATAAACAAATCACAATACATACGCATATGTAAAAATTGTGTTATTTATATCACGCCGCCCTGAAAATTAATTATTCTTCAGACGTGCTTTAAAAATGTAACTTACCTAATCTGGACACAACATATTCAGGTACCTAAGTGTTTATACTAAAATCCGGGCTAGATACCCCTGTAAATCGCAGCGATTCGGATAGAACTATTGTATTATCAAGGGTAATATACCAAGACCTTGATAAATAGTAAGATATTTTTGTTTTCATATCAATTTGATGTGACATAATTTTGTAATAATTTGATTAGAGCCCGAGACCTTTATCCCGAGACCTTTAGCTCGAGGGTTTTAATCAATTGATTATTAATGCCAAAATTATGTCGAATCAAATTGTAAAATATTTTACAAATTTAGCAACAACAAAAATAGCAGAATATTAATCAAGGTCGTGTTATATTTGGTACGATTATTTCACTAGATCAAATATTGACTATTTCTCTAGAAAAATAGTACCTAATTGGGAAATAATAGGAAGACAATAAAACAACCAATAATATTATTCTAATCGTTTAAGTAGGTATACTTAATTTACAAATAATCATTTTTTACAGAAAATAAGGTAACCTACTGACTATGAGAAAATCTGTACAACTGAGGTAGAACAAAAATCAGTCCTGCAGTGGATTGGGCAATCATTCTTTGGGTATGTGTAAATGCAGAGAAAATTACTTATCGTCGACAAATTTCTCAAACCATTGAATTTTATTTAGTAAATAGTGAAATATTGTATATAATAGTAAAAAGAAATAAAATAGATTTATTAAATTATTGTTATTGTTACGATAGCACAATAAGAAATGATATGTAATAAAGTAACAAGGCATGAGAATATTATCAACGGTACGTTTATTAAGGAAATCCCACATTTAAAGTTATTTTGAAATTAATAAAATTAAATAAACCATATTAAAAATCACTATTTTTGTTTGCTATATGTTGTCAACTTATCTATAGTATTAATGATTTTAATTTATAATCGGAAGTTTTTATGAGAAAATTTATATTTTTGTATATTTGCAAAATAATATCAACAGATATTTTTTTTTATAAATAAATTTTTAATAAGTTCAGTAACATAAATGTATATCTAGTATAAAAACAAAAAGTTGTAGACACTTGCTGCAAGTTTATTTTCGGTTATAAATAAATTATTTCGATAAGTATGTGGAAAATTTTTTCTCATAATATATGGTATATTAAGTTTGTTGTTTCAAGTTTACAGTTAGGCAAATTCAAACTTGGCGAAAGCTGTCCATAAATATTTAACAAACTTGCTTTAAATTTATAAGCTTTTAATAAATTTGCAGCGAATGTATTTTGTTTAGTGTGGGGTTATAAATAAGTTAATTGTTTAATATAGGTATTAATGTACTTTGTGAAGTTTAATATATTTTATTTCTATATTTTTTTAATTATTCCTTTTATGAACTAGTATCTTCTAAGACACATATTCAAGATCTCTAGACAAGACCTTTTTTCAGAGCTTAATGTGTCTATTCATAAGGGGGTGAATTATAGGGAGAATATTGTTACTATTATTGTTTGTAGATTTGGATTTGTGCATTTGAAAAATGAAAATGTTATTTAATTTAAGAGCGATTTCATTTTGATGTGGCTGCCCTTCTTATTATTACATGTTGCTTAATTGAATAAAATAAATTATTTTTCTTAATAAATACGTTTCTATTTACAGTGTGGATACAGTCGTTGGGCTATTTTAGTATTAATTATGCAAATTACAATTAATAAACTGTTATAACAGTAAATAAGTGATGGTGCTCTCTATTGTTGTTATACTTCAAATTGAAAGAATTTGCAAACTTCAGGTAAACCGTTTTTTTTTTGTAATATACTAAATACTTAAAACTACAACTCATTTTTTCGTATACAATTACATAACAAAAAAAAAAATAAATACAAAAATATTTTCGTTATAATTTATAAATAATAAATATGTTTGCATTTTTATTAATCAACTAGTCGTATAACTAACACTTAGTACGATATTTTTCTTTTTCTATTATTTACATAAATAATATTTACAATTCAAACAAGTTACTATTTTTATACATGTGGATTTAACTGTGGATTAACTCCAATATGGACAATAAGTAGGTATAGAATCGTAATTTGAATTCTTTTGAACTAATTATATATATAAAACAAATGATTAAAAAATTATGCATATCGATTTTGATTATGTGACAAGAATCCAATTATTGTTCCATATTTGCTGTAGTCGTCAATTTTATATCAGAATACATTTACCGTTTAATGTTACTAAGTGAGACGTCAATATATATTAAATAAACTTTATAGTATGGTATAAATTAAAATTTACTTTGACTTTACCTCCAACTTCGGTGTCATGAGCTGGTAAGTAAGGTATAGGGTTATCAAAAAGGTTACCCTTATTCCGGTCGTAATACAAAATTAGACTACATAAAAGGGTACTATCATTAAAAATCAAGACATTGATACCGCCATATAGAGAAAAAAAGGCTTATTTTTTGGGCAAATATAAAATAAGGTCTTCATATGAAGTATTTTTTATAATTATTTAATTAAAAACATAGCAAGAACACACGGTCAAGAATTAGAAGGCCAAAAAAACGAAAACACTTAATAGACACCATAAAAGAAAGCAAAATACCAAGAATAATAATAGGAACCTTCCATAGCTCTCAGAAACCCTTGATTCAGCATCATAGACAAATTTTGACCCCTTCATAATTGGCGCCATATTAAGTAAGTTTTAAGGTGGCACTACTGACAAGACAGGATTCGCGAAAGGGTAGAAGATATTATATAGAAGAAGTAGGTAACTTTTCACAAATATTTTTCTTGAAATAAATAATTTTTTATGGTTTATTGTACACCATACTAAATTTTTTAAAATTAATAGTTGATAGCTAGAGAGAGACCATTGATAATTGATTGAAATTTCACCTTATATGTTACGCAGTGGCGGCTCGTGGGGTGGTTCACAGTGACAGAATATAGGTATCAGTACAGATGTATGTAAAAACTTTCAGTGTTTTAGAAAGTTTATAATATACCTTTCTAAAACACTGACACTTTTTTACCTACATCTGTACCGGGATCTATATTCTGCTACTGTGAACCCCCAACATTTTGTTTACGAGCCGCCCCTGATGTTACGTTTCGCACATTCATTGGTTGACCACGAAAAACTGCTTTAGTCGAGTCGATCAGGAAAATTGCAAATGCGCTAGTTCAGTGTGATGTCAATTTGGTTCCACTGACATTTAATTCTAACCAAACTATTAACAAAAACATCAATAAATTTGACATATACGTTTTTACAGGATGTTGTAAGTCTATTTGTAAATATTGTTTACAGGTCATAAAAAATAGTTTAAAGGTATGTAATTTGTAACTAAACGATTGTATATTTGATGCATGTTATCTACTTACTTTAGGAATATATTTATAAAAGTGAAAAAACGATATAATTTAGGTAAACAAAACGAACAAAACGCACTTAAAAAATCTACTGTCACTTTAATTGTCAGTGGAACCATAATTACATCATCACTGAACTAGCGCATACGAGGGCTGTCTTTTAAGTTTTGCATACCGTGCATTAGAGGGCGTTACGAATCAAACGGCTCTAATAAAAATAAACTGTCGCCTTTAGTTAACCTCACTTCCAAGTTTCAGTCCGATTCATAGAGTGTTGTAGTTACACCGAATTTTCAAAGTTGACAAGTTATTCAAGAAATGGATTTTAACCGAGATCATTTTCGTGCCATAATTTTAAGACAATTATCTCAACAAGAATGCTTCGCCGAGTTGGTTTCTGTTTTCGGTAGTAAAGCATCACATCAATCGACAATTTCTTGTTGGTATGGAGAATATTTACATGAGGACGGGTTAATCTTAGTGACAAGCCAAGAAAAGGTGCACCTAAATCGGTAGTCACCCAGGAAACCATTGATGCTGTGCACAGGCTCATCGAAGAAGATCGGCATGTGACATATCGCGTAATTGAAGCATCGTTAGAGATTTCAAAGACCTCAATCCAAAAGTTTTTGCATGAGGAATTGGGAGTAAAAAAATAAGTGTCCCGTTGGATACCGCAGCTGACAGAAGAAAAACGCGTGAAACTCTAAAAACGTGTACTTCATCGTAAGTGGTGATGGATTTTTATATGAACCTGAAAATAAACACCAATCGTGTGTTTGGGTTTTCCAAGGTGAAGACAAGCCGACAAAAGTGATCCGTTCTCGAAGTGTGTCTAAAAAGATGCTCGCAACATTTGTCTCCAAAGCAGGTCATATTGCAACAATTCCTCTGCAAGAGCAAAGAACTGTTACTGCCGATTGGTATATAGCGATTTGTTTGCCAGCAGTCATCGCTAAGCTTCGGGAAACCAACCCCAAACGACGAATGCAAGTGCGCACACAGCTCGCAAAACAATTGCCTTCTTAGAGCAACAAAACGTCGAGTTAGACCACCCTCCTTACAGTCAGGTTGTCAGCGAATGGTGCTGAGAATAAATACCACGTTAATGTATTCTTTTAATTATAAAACCATCACCAGTTAAATTAAATTAATAAGCCAGACACTAATTAACAGTTCGAGCGCATGCAAAAGTGCATTAATATTCGTGGAGAATACTTTAAAAACAATAAAATGTTTAAACACTATCTGCTGTATTATTCTAGGTCTATATGCAAAACTTAAAAGACAACCCTCGTATATTTGTCCTTTCATTTGGGACAATCTAAAATTAATCTGTCTTGATAATATTGAAATTTAGTTTATAAAATAACAGTCACACAATTTCATTAGGAAAATAAGCATCTAATGAAATAAATTGACTATTAAACTGATACTATGTAGTCGTGGCTTGCTTTGTTATATATTTTGAAATAAAATTTTAACTTGTATTACATTCTAAATTAGGATTTATATGGTAATAATTTTGTTCGTTCCAAATAATATTTTAGAAACATCTTTCACATATTTACACGTCTTGAAGCTTTCGTTTCTCCCACTTGGTTCGTATATAACTATTGTTAAAGAGAAATACCGTCTCAATATTTTTCCAACCAAATAAATATACCTGTTTCCCCAAGAAGGTTTTCAGAATTAAATACTAATATGTGTCCCTTTAAGAATGGGACATAAAGCAACTGAAGATTATCTGATTAAAAATATTTTTTTCCTTCAACCCCCCTTTTCGGAGATATGGTCATGGTCCCATAATGGATACCCCTGAAAATCTTTTTTTTACGCATACATTTACTAATTCTTTAATAAAAACGGATAACATCGCTGCACATTGGCACCTAACGAGAAGTTTTATAATTAAAACCTAGATTAAAATAAATAAAATTTTAACACCTCCATAATAACTGGCACGTAGAGAAAAACAAAGCTATAGTAAGCTTAAAGGCGAAGAGAAAAATACACTGGTGGTCAAAATTAATTACGGTATATCTTTGTTATTTTAATAGCAACAAATAAGAGATTTACCCTGTTATTTGTTAAGACCTAAGCGAAACTTTTATAAGGATTTTTTTTTATTTAGGCCTTCCTTTTGGTTAAATGAATGATATATTTAAAATTGTTCACGACTGAAACCAATATATTTACAATTATAAGATTTTTCGTCAGTAAGGGTTAATGTAAATGACTTTTTTTATAATAATAAAAAAATAATCACTAGAAAGACCTTATTGTGCATTGGAGCAAAAATAAGTATTTTCCTCTGTACGGTGGTATCAATATCTCTATTTTTGATGATAGTGTCTAATTTTGTATTACTCACGGAATAAGGATTACCTAATCATGTACTTTTCATCCCTAAAAATTCAGATTATGACAAAAAAGTGGGAGGCGAATCGTTTTTTAGAGCGAATATTTTAATCAGAGATAACAGGAGATGTAACTAGAAACAAATATCCTGCTGTAGTGAATAAGAAATATTCTAAAGGATACAGGAGGGTATAATATCCTCTGTTGTCACGCCTATATCAATATTCTCATTTTGTTTACAAAATTATTTACATATCTTGAAAAAGCTAAAATAATTCAATCTATTTCATTGCAACTGAAGCCAAAAAATGTTGAATCATTACATCAAATTTAACTAAATGTACTATATGTACTAATTTTCAATAAATTCCAAAACCTAGTTAATGTTAAGCTAGATATCAAGTATGTTGTACTAGATGTGGCAACATGGCTTGGAATTTTGTTCGTTTGTTTATTACGGGTATACAACGGCTTATACATATATTCTTTGATAAAATTCTTTTGTAGGGTCGTCCAATCCTTCAATTTATCCCTTTTCATACCTCACAACAAATGTCTCTTCACTCCCTCCTGATCTACAACTGGGTACCTATTCTTGAATTCGGGGGAATAGAAAACCGGTTTTGCCTCTTTATCTACAACGCGCAAAATTTGTATTTTTGTCTCATTCTTCCCTCAATATTTCTACTCCCTGAGATTCAAGAATAGACACCCTGGACGGAATCGACACAGGTATTGATGTCGGCGTCAAGAATATATTTTATCAATGAATAGTTATATCTCCTGTTACCTCTGGTTTTAATACATACACTATTATTTGTGTGTCTATAATATTTTGTTGTTTTTTTTTTTGGTCTGGACTTGAAAAAATTATAAATACAAAATACCAATTTTTAAAGTTTATCTAACATTATCTTTGTGATGTAAAATTGATACTGAATAACTACCTACTTAAAAGGAAGTTAAGATCTTCTGTCTCATTTTTAAAAGAATCTTTTCACGAAACTTTTATTTTTCAAAATAAGTTCCCACACCTAATTGGATTGTTGTGTCAATAAATTTAGTAACTCCGCGTGATCCATATTATTTAAAGTCTGAATATCAATACCAAGTGCGTCAGCTACGCTGTTCATGTCCAAACCGAAGGATTTCAATAATTCTATGAAATCCATTTCTTCCCCAGTGAAGGGATTGTGTAACCTGGGACATGAGTGGTTACATTGGGGCCAAGAACATCGTTCCAACCTTCTATGGATGCAGTGGCGTTTTCTGGGCCATCTGTTTTTTTGCAGTACGGACCTGGAGATTCGTTTGTCCAAAGTTGGGTTGTTGGAGGTTAGAGATGGTTTGTTTTCTGAGTTTTGTGGGTGTTTTCTAGAACGAACTGTAAAAGATAAGCATATTTTAAAAGGGAAAGTACATATTTTCTTAAAGATATTTAATTTTAAACAGGAAAATACTCAATATTGGACAGACGTTTCTTTCTTGAATATACATTTTTTTAAAAACTTACATTTTAGGCTTTATGAAGGGTAGTATTTTTCAAATTTACCACCGGAAACGTCATAAATTAAGGTATTTTATTTATTTATTTATTGTGTGGAACATTATTGAGAAGACGCCCTTTACAGGTTCGTGAACTTGGCACCACAACTTTGCAAAAATGGTGCAACAATTTGTGAGAGGATTGCCCTTCGTTTGCCTATTATTGCCCATGAAATAACTTTTTAGCCCACCCTCTGTTTTTAAGGTATATCGAAAATAATTTTCGCGGGCCAACCTCCAATCAAAAGTAAAAAACATTTTGGTAGTTTAATTCCATAGAATAATAGCATTTAATTTGCCCACGTATGCCCATAAATAATTTTTTTTAAAAAGTGCATTCGTTTACCAATGTTTGTCCATTTTTTAGTTTTTCCAATTTGCATGCCTTTCTTCAAAAAAAAAAAAAAAATTCAAATTAAAAAAATATGAGATGACAATTTCTCAGGGCCGTGAACTTGGCACCACATCATTACAAAAATGGCACAAAAATGGTACAAAATGGTACAAAAATGGTACACAAATGGTAGAAAAATGGTACAAAAAAGATTACAAAAATGGTACAAAATGGTACAAAAATAGTACAAAAATGGAAAATAAATTGTACAAAAATGTGTTTCCCCATGGTTTGCCCATCATCATTCGGTTAAAAAAAAATTAAACTGCATTTGGTATACTTGTTTGCCTATTTTTGATATTTCTAGATGAATATCGTTTTTCGAAAAAAAAGAAAAAACAAAAAACAAAAAAAAAACATACAAGAAAAAACAAAACAAAAATAAAAAATAATTAAATTAAAAAAGGATCTGATGACAACCTCACTACGAGTGCATTTAAGTGTTTGTAACGTGTGGAGGGTGGGTTACCCCCACGGCACTTAGAATTCATTAGGCCCATTGTGCATCCTTCTGAGATGATAGGCACCTCCTAGCTTGTGAGCCAGCCTACAGATTTAATGTAGTTGACAATTTTATACGTGTTTATATCTTATTGTTAAGAAAAGGCCGTCTTCCCAATATTTACCTATTTAAGTAATTTTGATAAGAAATAATTGAATATTTTGTTATTTATGATTTAACTGTTTTATTATTTTTTTAGTAGGTATATATTTTGTTTAGAACCATTTTTATAAATTATTTATTATTCTATTTCCTTGTTTTATTACATTAATAACTTTTAATCTTCTTATAATTTTAATCTATACTTACTTTTATTCCTCTGAATTTTTCTGTTGATCCTATTCCTTCTCCTCCTCTTCATTTTAACCGAAGCATCCTGTACATTAGCTCTATCATCATTATTCAGAAGGTTCGCGTAACCCAACGTCTTCCTCTGATTTCTCCTCCTCTTTCTCTTCCCCAATCTAGCTCCGGTATTATTTAATACTTTTCCATTTTTCAACCTTTTTAGTCTTCTTCTACTTGTTTTCTGTTCCCAGCAATGAAGAGCTTCAGCCACAGATATGTCATCAATTTTGACACTTTGCCAATCTCGCTTTGTTAGGACGGAATGTGAGATGCAGGATGGAGCGAATATTGCCGAAACGTTTTCGAAGCTTTGTCGCAAAGCGTCGCCCATCTTGTGAATGTAGTCCCATTGTTGTTTGGTTACAGGAGCTCCTACGTTGTCTACGTCCATTTGGGCTTCATCAAATAGCCATTGGAAGACGAAGAGTTCAGCTGAAATTCGTAAAAAGTCAATTAAGATTATAGTATTAAAATAGTATAGGTACTAACTAGTGTGGAAAGTGATAGGATATAGTCGACTAAAAATAGCATTCTGTTCCACCTAGTCTCTGAACTAGGTATTACAGTGACTTCCGATTTTGTTTACTAAGTGCAGATGGCTCTCCTTGAATATTTACACATGTAATTTCCCAGTAGCATTTCAGTACGGACCTGATTTACTTTAAATAAAATCGTTCTTATTGGCATAATGAAAGCCTAATATTTATAACGTATTTGACTCAAGTAAATAAAATAAATCTTTACGCTTTCTCACCGAATTCCGAGGCAACTATACCTGATATGATTTCTATTTACTATACTACAACGGTTTCATTGAATTTACTTGTATTTGCCTGTCAGTTACAGATCGCTACAATATTTCAACTCCATATTGCATTATAAACGCTGTTTGACCGTACAATTATTGATTTGTCAGCAAATTTACAAATTGTTCCATCATGTCATTGATGTGACATTTTGTTACCAGTTGATTGATGAAAACTATTGTTGAGATTTCAATACGAATCTCCAAATTTAAATCTAAATCGATTGCTTAGGCGTTAATTTCCATAACAATAGTACGCAAATCAGATTTTCGCTTAAAGCTCAGTTATTGCAGATGAACTAAAATTGTAATATTACTTTTTCATTAGATATGTAAATGTTAAGAGGATATTTATTAAATAAGAGAGGAAAACACCGAGAGTATAAAAACTGTAAAACAAATAAATATTATGACTAAATTTGATTAGATAGATTAGATAAAAGTTCTTTACAAAAACATACCACATATTCCTTAGACCAAAATAAGTCGATTTAAGTAAAATTACCTTTGTACAAAGTTGCTTCGTTTGGGCTCCAGAGGGCCTTGAAGTTACAATTTTTAAATCGTTTTTCTCATATAAATTTAAAACGGCATATGCGATTTTGCTGAAATTTGGTATATTGGTAGAGTTCTATGTGGCATAAAAAATGGTATTAAAATTTTGTCCGATAATAATACATAGGCGTAGAACTTGATTTTTAAATAATTGCACCTTTAAAAATTCTACGCCAATGGAAGAAAAGGAGTTTGAGTATGAAATTTAGATTGCGCAACTCATTTACTTTAAAAAAGATACTCTTGATAAGACTCGATTACTCTCATGGTTTTCGCTAAATTTCTGTTTTAATAATTTAGAGTGTATAGGTTTCACAAAAATATTTATTTACAACATAATCAAAATAGAGATTTTACAAAAATTGTTCAAAATGTTCACCATTTTCACGCATACAAAGATTTATACGTCAAAGAAAATTAAAATGTATCCTTTCCATAACTTCTTCATCACCTCTAAGACTGTTTATTGCATCTTGAATACGTTGCCAGAGTTGTTCCTCATTTTCTACAGGTTCCCTGTAAACTGTGGATTTCAGATGTCCCCATAAAAAGTAATCCATCGGTGTTAGGTCTGGGGAACGTGGTGGCCAGTTTACATTACCTCTGCCTATCCATTTGTGTGGATATTGTTCATTCAAGTGGTTTCTAACGTTTAAAGAAAAATGTGGTGGAGCTCCATCTTGCATAAACCACGTATCTCTCCGAAGTTGGAGAGGTAAATCTTCTAACAATTCCGGCAACGTATTTAGTAGAAAATCCAAATAATTTTCTCCAGTTAATCTTCGTGGAAGTATGACAGGACCAACAATGAAATTACCAATTATTCCAGCCCACACATTAATTTTGAATTCGTGCTGAAAATGGTTTACCTTTATTGAATGCGGATTTTCAACGGCATAAACATGTTCATTATGGGTATTAGTTATACCTCTTCTTGTAAAACCCGCTTCACCGGTAAAGAGAACCTTCTTGACAAAGTTTGAATCTCTTTCTCTTTGCATATTAACAAATCGACAAAAACCCAAACGAATTTGAGGATCATGGACTAATAATTCTTATACTGGCTTCTTATGGTATGGATATAGCAATTGTTCTCTAAGCACTTTATGAACGACATCTTTACTTACTCCTAGTTCCCTTCCAATTCGTTTGGTGCTTAATTCTGGATCTTCTTTAACACGTTCTAAAATGTCTTCTTCAACTTCAGGAATCCTTACAAAACGTTCTCTTCCATTATCAACAGTGTTGGGAGCAAAGGAACCGGTCTCCCGAAGACGTCTTTCAACAGCAGCAAAAGTTGGGTGGCTAGGTACACGACGATTTGAAAACCTTTCAGAGTACACCCTGACACTCTCGAGCATTTCCTTCACAAAATCCTAATGTCAGTGACATATCGGTATATTCTGCATTGGTATATTGTACAGCCATATTAATAAGCCACGCATTTGTTTTTTTAATTATTGAATGAGATAGAACACTTTCAATCGTTAACAAGAGATTAGGTGTTAAAACTTGACAATATTTTTATTTAGATGAAACTATGGAAACCAACAATAAATGTTTTTGTATACGTATTGCAGGCAAATAATTAATATTCCTCAAACAATCGTACATGGCAAGAATCGAGTATTTTTGTTAAAAGTCTCGATTAGAGATGTTGAAGAAGATATGAAAAAAGTACATTTTTATGTTTTTCATCGTATAAAATTTTGTGCGATAATAATACATAGGCACAATAATTGCACCTTTAAAAATTCTACACCAATGGCAAAAAGGGGTTTGAGTATGAAATTTGGATTGGGTACTCATTTACTACAAAAAAGTACCCTTGATAACACTCGATTTACTCTCATGGTTTTGACAAAGTTTGTATTTTAATAATTATTGTTTATGTTCTAAAATTACTAAAATGCAAATTTCGTCAAAACCATGAGAGTAATCGAGTCTTATCAAGAGTACCTTTTTTAAAGTAAATAAGTTGCGCAATCTAAATTTCATACTCAAACTCCTTTTCTTCCATTGGCGTAGAATTTTTAATGGTGCAATTATTTAAAAAATCAAGTTCTACGCCTATGTATTATTATCGGACAAAATTTTAATACCATTTTTTTTGCCACATAAAACTCTACCAATATACCAAATTTCAGCAAAATCGCATGTGCCGTTTTAAATTTATATGGGAAAAACCATTTAAAAATTGTAACTTCAAGGCCCTCTGGAGCCCAAACGAAGCAACTTTGTACAAAGGTAATTTTACTTAAATCGACTTATTTTGGTCTAAGGAATATGTGGTATGTTTTTGTAAAGACCTTTTACAGACACCCTGTATATGCAACTTAAACTAAGTACATTTTGTATTTAGTTTTTAAAAAGATTTTTAATTTAAATTACAACTTACTTATCGAGAACATATTCTAAACTAATTATAATAAAAGGAAATATACTACAACCGGTGGCATTGCACTTAAGGTGGAATGAAACAAAATAATCTTAATGAATAGTCAGCAGTTTTAGAGTTCGTCCACGAGGTTGCTGACTCAGGGTTATTAATTCTATAACTTGCATAACTAATATATTCGTTATTGTAGTTTAAATTCATAAGGTTAATAAATTATTCAATAAAAAAAGCAACTATACTTATTGTTTATGCTTACATTTTAGTGTAGGATATAACCTATATCCGAAATAGCATCTCCAAGGTTCGCTCATATACTCCTCTCTACATCTCCTGGGCACTTTCCCTCTCCACATGTCCATTCCCTTTCTAATAGCTTCAACAGCGGGTTTATTAGTAGGTGCGTATGGTGTTCTATCCAAGAACCATCCAGAATCTGTTACTCCTCTAACATTGATTTGCGTTAGCATAAGTTCTTCGTGTAAGAGTTCTTTAACGTAGTCTAGATTGAGCATCACTCCAGTTCCCCCAGCGCTACTACCTAAAAAAAACATACAATTACATAAAATAAAATATTGTATTTGAATAAGGATAATTTCCTGACCGTAGAAGAATTTTATATAAATTTTTCAATCAGCACCAGCGATGCATATACTCAATAATAACATACTAATACATCTGTCTCTTACTAACCTGCAAGTATCAAGTCTGTGCTATTTTCCAGTCCTAATGGTATCAAATCCCGTATAACTTGTCTAACGATGAAAGACCCCATAAAGCTGAACATGTCGTTTGGAGACGGTGGTTTGGTTCCACTCCAGGAGTCACTGGTACAATAGGGAACAAAGACGTGATTGGTATTCCACCAGAATGGGTTTTCTTTGATATTTGGAGACAGCATTCCTCCAACTAAAAATAAATATAAATATGTCTAAGAATGAAATCACATTTATATAAAATTTATACAATAAAAAATCGTAGTTTATTTAATTTCAAGCAAATGACAGCAAACATTTGAAGATATTGGAAGTCTCTAATATTCTGTGGTCTGTGTTAAGTTTTTATCCGTTTATTTTAATTGTTCCTGGTTACGCCACTGCTTCCTTTTCTTTAACCGAGAGAAATGAGGTTAAAAAAGATCATTTTAATAACTTAAAATGTTTGTCTTATAAGATATAAAATATTTTTTATAATTTTTAATATAATTTATAATATTATATGGGTATAATAAATTAATATAATTCTTATAGTACATATTATTACAAGTCAACATTTCGGAAGATTTGAACATCATCAGGTACGTTTACTAGTAACAATAATATCTGAATACTCTTTATTGTTCGCAATCCATTACACAGTGTGTTCCAGAAAGTGTTTGACTATGAATGCCCAAGTGATGCAGAATATTTTTTTAAGAATAGTTGTTTTTTTTTGAAAAGTCATAAAACTTTTTCTCAGGTATATACATTTTTTGGGATACAGTGTATAGTAGATTGAAGTAAGGTTATTATAACCGGTTACGAGGAAAAATGTCTGGAGAAAACAAGACAACACAGAACAAAAACAGTCTGGTGGAGCAAACACTTGAAACACCTTTGAGTTGAAGTGCGAAGGCTATTCAATATAGCCAAATAAACAGAAGACCTATAGCCCTATATAAGGATATAAGGCTAAACTCTTGCAGTATAACAAGGAGATAAAAAAGGATAAAAGACAATCTGTGAGGAGTTATTTAAAACACCCATATGCTCCAGAATCCAAAAAGTAAAGAGGGTACTGCAAACCAGGTAGTATTTCTCAGGAAAGATGTTAGACCCGCTAGTAGCATACAGCCCTCACAGAAGGTCTTGTTAGGCCAACTGCTTTGAGAAAAGCTACAGAAATATTAAGCCCGAAGAAAATTAGATGGGCTACAAACAAATTTCTGTGATACAAGTCCCAAGGAGTGAATAAATTTTTTTACTGCAAGATGATCAGAAAATTTTAATTTCACATATTATGTGTCGCATATTTAAAGCATCCCAACAAACAATGAATTGTCGGGATATTGCGGGCCTTGTGCTGTAATTGAAGGAAAAATAAATGCGACGATTAAAGGATAAAAGTCTACTTTTAGCCTTTCGATAGTGGCACAGCATTAAGTTGGTTGATGATGGCTTTATGAAGGGTAAGTTACTTTATTGGATAAAACTATGGTAAAAGTCAAAAGCTTTTAACTGCCGCAGATCCAACCCCAACATTTCAGGAGGGCTCCGTCCCGCGTTCATAAATGATCGCTTGCTACATACTCTAAGAGTACGTCGTTAACAATAATTTCTGAATACTCATTGTTGTTAGCGACGTGCTTGGAGATCACGTCGCAATCCACTACACAGTGTGTTTGAAAAAGTTTTATACACATCAGAAAAAGTAAAAAAAAAAACAATTATTCTTCATAAAAAGTAAGTTCTACATTACTTGGGAATCCATAATCGAGTATTATTAGTTTCTTATCTGAAAACGCACCTCCCCTGGTTTCCAGATCCTCGTCAAGGCAGTAATCGGCTAACCAATGCACGTTTGTTTTGTCAAGTAATGAATTATTTGCTACAGAAGCTTATCTGGACTAGATTCATATTTTCTGGACTAGATTCATATTTTCTGAAGCAAATCCTTCAGTTTTAAAGCTTTTTCTTTGGAGCAACACCTTTTTACTTCAAGTCCAAATCTTTTACTTCGTATTTTTGTAAATAGAATATGAAGTAATGTTTTGATATAAGTAAAAGCCTATATACTCCCTCTTTTCATTGATAAGTCGAAGTTGACACGTCGATAACTTGCTAATTATTTTTTGAATTGTTACTTACCGTCTTTTGTTTCTGGCCACTTTGATGACGTCATGAAATGCCGTTGCTTTAACCATCGATTTCGACAGCTGTGAACGTCATAGCAATACCATCCACCTTCAAGGAATATTATCCATTTCGTACTTGAGTGCGACCGTCTTAAATAAAATCTGTAATAAAAATCGAATAAATAATAACGACAATAAATTTTCTTTCTAAACAACTTATTCAACTATTTATTTGAATTTATTTTTACCGAAAATTAGAATTACCATATGTAAACTATTTTTACGATAAGAAGACAGTGACGTCATTTCTATTGTTTTAAACTTAACGTGCAGAAGAAATTAACTTTTAAACGTTGGCCACATTTCACGAGATTAACATTTACATCCATTTCAATCTTAAATAAAGTTTTAATTTAATTAATACCTATTTAAAGTTGATATTAGATGTACTTATATTCAAGACAGGAAAAAAGGAAGAACATTGTCACAATGTTATCTGTAAGTAACGGAAAAAATCTACCTGACAATGCCGCAGGTTTTTTAATGTGTGATGTCAGCGCCTTCTTACCGTAAAAATTCTAAATAAGATTGTTTAATTTATTAAACTTGCTTTTGTACAATGTTATGGCGATAATAAACCGTAAAATAAATAGCGATAGAAAATTAAATGTAACCCCACTTTACAGCCATGAATAAACCATCTATCGACACGTCTAAACGTGGCAAAACCTTATTTTCTTTGCTGTAAAGTCTATTTTCACTTTTCCCCAGAAAATTCAGCATAAATAAATTTAACAATCTGTAGGTATGTCTAGTAACGCTTTTTCAATTAATATTTTAAAAATAATTTGCTAGACTTCTAGAGAATTACTAAAATCAACATTTTACCTTTTTTGACTTACCCGGCTTGCGACCCATCGTTACAGGTGATGGATCTATTAGACAAGAAAACTTTCTTTAGGGCTTTAACCTCGTTTTCCTGCGTACTGTTTTGGTCACCGGGATTTTCGAACCTTTGTATGGTGTTGGTGTAAATGGGCTGCTCCAATGTCACTTCGCCATGACCACTGTGGAAAGCCATGCATATGCTAAACCACAAAGAAATCATCTGAAAAAAGAATGAAATACCGTATTATTAATTTTTTAGAAATAGAAATTTCAAAAAAAAATTTCTTAAAAGTATGGGTTTTAAGTAAGTAGTTTTTGAAGTTGAACACACAAGTGTGCTTTTAATAGGTTTTTTGTAGAGAAAACAAAAAATAATACAGGCCCGGAATAGATATTGTGACATTAAAAATATTGATAAATAACATGCATAAATATTTAATTAAAAATAATGCCTTTATAGTAGATGGCAGCGCACATAAAATTATAAAAAGAAAATAACTATGATATTAGCCGTAAAAGAATTACTTTCTTAGAAAATGTTATTAAATATAGAACTGAAGGCTGGAATATTATATACTAATGAAACATACATCCACAGCTCACATTTGCAATCCAAGGAAAAGGTTTGAAGAAGAAAATCTCAGAAGGAAGGAGACTTGTGATTGTACATGCAGGTGGAGAAAAAGGATTTTTTCCTAATGTCATTAATATTTCGTTCAGGTATGTCTCTATATATATTGAAAAGTATTATTTTGTAAGTATCGATTGTCCCAAATATTTATAAACACTGTATATATCAGGTATAACATGTTTTAACTTAGTTTAAGTAAAACCAACCCTTAATGGTGATGAGTCTTATAGTAGTAAAAATGGTTTCATTTGAATGTATGGAAAACGGACAATAACTTCACTTATTAGCGTCCATAAAATGTTTGTTGGGCTAGAACGAAAATCGTGTGAAACCTGATTATTTTTATTTATTTTTGAAAGTTATACTATTGTTTTCTTATTGGTTTTAAAGCAATATATAATAAAAGATAATTTTAACAGTCAAATTAGGACAATACAATTTACAATATTCTCTTTTTTTTGGTTTAAAAGTGAAGACTACCATAATGATATGAATCATTCAAATTTTATAAAGTAGACTCAGGAACTACTATTGCCCAATATGCCTGAGAAAAAAGTTCTGTTTGTAGACAATGCTTCTTACCACAACGTGAAAACTGAAAAATACTACTTCAGCATCTAGGAAAGCAGAAATGTTAGAATGGCTTATTGTCCACAAAGTTGACCGCTTTGTATGAATTAATAAAAACATTTCGGTTAGGTACTCCTGTTTCCTATAAATTGGACTGTTTACTGAAGGAACATGGACATAAAGTCTTACGGTTGCCACCCTAAATGGAATTCAACCCAATACAAAAAATCTGGGTACTGGTTAAGAACTGAGTGACAATACCGTATTTAATCTGGATTATGTGAGCCAAGAAGAAATTTACTGATGTTTCTTTACAAGAATGGTATTATATTTGCGAACATGTAATGAAATGCGAATCTTAATGGATTGAAAAAGAACACATTATTGATGATGCTGTAGATTCTCTTGTACTCTCTGTAAATACAGGATCGTCAGGCGTATCTACTTCGGAGGATGTCTGCAGTGACAGCTTTGTCTTCGATTCCATAAACTCAAAGTTTGTGCACAATACTGTATGATTGACACTATCAAACGCTTTTTTTTTCTCTCCTGGGCACTGTAGCGCCTTGGAAGCACTACATACTAACTCCAACTCATAATATATTGATACACGTCACACCCATGCCACACATATCAATATTACCTATTAAGGCAGCTTAGTGGGAGGCAGGATTTAAGTGCACCCTATCTATCTACTTGACGACCTCGGTTGCCAAGCATTAATATTTATTAAAAAAAGAAAAATGTCATATATATAATTTTCTGTCATGACGGAATTGTCTATTTCATTATATTAATATATACCTTTTTACAAATCGCTATATTATTTACAAGATGGGATCTCCCAAATATAAAAGATCCCATAATTGGTGACCCCGATAGAATCCGTACCTCAAAGTTAAAAGATCCCATAATTGGTGACCCCGATAGAATCCGTACCTATGATTCCACACCGCTTAATTAACAGCGGAAGCAGCCGAAGCAGCTGAAGGAGTAGCAGCTAACCGCTATATCATTTACAACATGGGATCCTCAAAGTTAAAAGATCCCATAGGCACGTCTATGTGTGTCCGAATAACACTGAAGCCTATTGGCTTATTGTGTTTTACCCCATGTTAGTTCATAGCACCCACTCTGTCACCTTTGTACCGTGTACAAGTTTGTACAGATTCTTGGGTGAGCGGGTTCTATACGTTGTTGCATCAACCTGGGGTTGTCCAAAAAGAGCCTGTCTTTTGCGATCTAGAGCTTCGCATTCGCACAGTATGTGTTTGGCCGTTTCTGGTTTCTTGTGACATAGTCGGCACATAAGTTCCCCATTGTACATGCCAATTTTGTTCAAGTGTCCCTTTACTGGGGCGTGCCCAGTCACGAACCCTGTTATTACTTTCAACTGGTTCCTATTCATAAAAAGTAGTTCTCCAGTTCTTTTGGGACATGGTCTGCCTATGAAGGCTTTTCCATGTGCCTGTTTTAGGGTGTTTCATCAACAATTGATATGTTGTTCCCGAATCCAGTCGTTTATGAAACCCCGGACTGTACTTTTTGATACTCCTGGGTTTGTGTCTGGTTCCGGTGTTTCTTCTGACCCTCTTTTTGTAAGTTCGTCAGCCTTTTCGTTGCCTTCGATCCCTTGGTGACCTGGCACCTAAAATAGTTTTACTCTATTTCGGTCTGCCAGTGTTCTTACTTCTTCGATGCATTCCCATACCAGCCTCGACGTAACTTTCTGACTCGATATGGCCTTAAGTGCCGCTTGGCTGTCTGACATTATTTGAATATGCTGATTTTCGACAGCTCTTTCATTGTTCGTTTTCGCACATTGCAAAATTGCGTATACCTCCGCCTGAAATACCGAGGAATCAAACGCCTTAGTCAAATCACAGAATATCTCCTCTACTGCTTCATTAAAATTCATTTTAAAATAAGCAAGTTCAATATATATAGGCAACCAATAATGTTTATTGTAAAACTCCGCCGCTTAACATCGCAGAGCTGTGCCATTTTAGGTTGGGTCGGCAGGATTGTGTATCGTTCCACTGGCTAGGAGTTCAGTGATTGTAACTCCTCCATCACTAGCGGGATATTATGCATAGAAGCGGAGCAGCTAAGCTATTTGCCCTAATTTTCATATATATGGACAATTGGACTATAAATTATTGTAATTATATAATCATGATTTTTTCTCGATGCATATTCAATATTATTGCCCTCTGGTAAATTGTCTTCGTAACGCCTATGTTTAGATTAACCGTATAATTGTCGCTTTTTCTGATTTAATGATTCATCAACAATTCATTCAAAACAATATGCACAACAGCCTTCCTTCTTCTTAAAAGAAATGCCGACAGTACCAGAGTACCCGTGGTAGTGCCACGGTTCGCTTCTTATCCTCAGGGCCGGACTTTAATGTTTAATTTTGACCTTTTAATTATTTGTTAGGTGATTTTATTTGAGCAAACAAATTACTTTTACTTTATCGAATATATCTGTTATTTACGCATGGAGAAGAAAATTCTTCAAATAAAAGTTGCTTGTTATTGTCTATAATTTTTGTCCTATACATAATTTTCCTTAAATGGACTGTATTCGAGATATTTGAAGAAATGTGTAAATTTCGGATTTTAGAAGATAACTCAAAAAAGGAAAATGATTAAATTTTGAACATAGTCGGAACATTTGGGGAGGTACTTTATAGGCGGTCGTTTTCGTACTTTATAGAATAATCTGTTGTTGAAGCTTAAAGAATAAAATTCTTCAAATAAAAGATATAATTCTCTATAATTTTTGTTGTATACATGAGTTCTCTAAAAAGGACCGTAATGGAAAAATTTGATGAAGTGTAAAATTTTAATGTTTCAGTATTTTCGTTGGCAATGAATATATATAAAAAAATGTTTCTAGTAATATGTATGTAGAAAATGGATGTATTTGGTTTATCCTCTAAACATTCATAGGGGTGAATAAATAGGTCATACAAAATATCCGGAAAAAGCCTGTAACCACTAGTCATGTCATTAGATTTTTAAATATTATTTGCAAGTCGTAAAAAATTAGTTTAAAGATATACAAATTTATATAGATAAACATTCATAGGGGTGAATAAATAGGTCATACAAAATATCCGGAAAAAGCCTGTAATCACTAGTCATGTCATTAGATTTTTTTAATATTATTTGCAAGTCGTAAAAAAGTAGTTTAAAGACATACAAATTTATATAGATAGACAATAGTATATTATGCAACGATCATGTAATGATGGTTATTAATACACGAGCATTAACCGGGATACGAAACGAGCCAAAGGCGAGTTTCGTATGGTCTATGCGAGTGTTTTAATAACCATTACATGAGAGTTGCATACGCTATTTTTTCTACACCCGATAAAGAATCAAGACCTATAAATATTATATTTATATTGGTATTGAACACAATAACAGTAATTACTCCTATTTCTATAAAAAATTCTACAAAATTGTAATTAATGGTATTACTTCGGGTATTGGTATTTCCCTAGATTTTTGCTGCAAAATATTTTGTACTGTATTTTCTGCTTTCTCCGATATGTGTGGATATCGCTGATATGAGACATTTTAATATTATAATTATCGAAGTTTAGCTATCTACGAAAATTTAATACGTTTTGACAACTAAAACAATTACATAGAAACCTAGGACAAACGTCAAACAGCATGCTTGATTGAAAAATAGTAGGTTTCTATTGATTAAAAATCTGTATCGTAATGAAAAATCTGTATCATAATGGGTATCATTATGAAACGGATTATGGGCATATAAGTGCATTATTATAATACGGGTGTAGAAAAAATTATACGTCGCTTTTTGTTTGTCAAATTGACAGTTATCGATACTGGGGTGGTTAAACTAGTTGAAAGATTATTTTGACCAAATCTTAAAGTTGTTGAAAGGGAATGTCAGTGGCACGGCTTATGCTCACTTTGTACCGTGCAGAGCGGACCAGTGGAAGACTTAACAAAAGCTCGCCAGGTCATATTCATCATCTGGGTCACTTCGGAACGATCTGTGCACCGTTTGGGCCGCTCGCGCTCATCGCCTCTCTAAAAACTAATGCCGCGACACGAAATGTTGGGGGTGCATTTTTGTTAGATCGGCGAGTTTTGTAGTTGTCGATTATTAGTTTGTGTTAATTTGGCGGCACGCGTTTCCATTGAACATGGAAGACATAGATGTAGTTAATAGTTTATAAACAAACATAAGTTTACTGCTAAAAAGGACCGCAAAATAGAATTATTGTATAAAAAGTAGGTGAATAAAAGCTGTAAATAAATAATTGCTTTTTTGGAGTGGGAGAAGAAAGCAGAATCTTTCAGAAAACCCAATGTCCTTAACAACGAGCCACTGGTTGAAAGGATGCAGTAATGCTGAGGATGCAGTAATGCTGAGAATGCAGTAATGCTGAGAATGCAGTAATGCTGAGGATGCAGTAATTCTGAGCAGGCAGTAGTGCTGAAGACACATATACCTAGTAAATATACTTTAGGGCAGCAACTAAAGATAGAAACTGCATTTTCATTCCTCTCAAACTAATTGGTCCATCACAAATTTAATGGCATTTCCGGTAAAACCGGAATTCAGCCATGTTTAAGTGTCTATAAAAAATTATATTCAGTAGTTTTGTTTCAAATTTGATCTAAATAGCTGCATAAATAAAAGATAGAGGAACTGGTCCGAATATGGGCCCCTTTTTTATTTTCCGAAGTTTCTGACGTGTTTTGACTAAAATGAGAATGTAATGTATTGAAAAATCTTTCAACAACATTCAGTAAGAGACTTTTAAAAACATTTTTGTTTTATTCTAAAATAAATACATTTGACAAAATAGAAAAAAATGTATTTTTGGTAAACCAGACCAGACTGTTTAGAATATGGGCCATATACCAAAATCAAATTTAAGCAAAAAAATATACATTTGCACAACAAAAAACATTAAAATGTATGTGCTTTCTTGGGGTTCTGGTTTCAGTTCACAACTAGAAGAATTGTTGAAGTTACTGGCTGTTTTAATTGAATCCATTTTATCTGTAGTATAGCTGCAGCGTTTGGTACTATACGCCGACATTCGAACGGCGGATGTTATTATTGTAATTTTACAGGAAGTTTCTAGACACTTTTAAACACACTAAACATAATAATTTTGGGTCCACAAAAATTATCTTAAAACTCTTAAAATTTGTTGTCTTGTCACCATAAAACAAATGTGAAATAAACCATTTTCACTAATTTCTTGTTGTAGAAACGGCTAAATATCAATATTAGCCAATTCATAGAACAATAAACCATACCAAATTTTTTCATAAACGATTAAATTTTCTTATTTTTCATTTTTAAGTTAGAAAAACAAATACTGTAAATTATTTTCAATGACAATTGACGTTTCTAGTTTCTATAAACGCGGTGTTGCTAACTCGAGTAAGAAAACATATACGACAGGAAATAGTTCGGTTAATGAAAGTTTGCTGTTTGGAAATGGCTTCAGGCTATACAGCGTAGCTGGCCGGCAGGTGAACTTGGATCCCGAAGTGAAAACATTTGTAGTAATCACAGACATTTGTCTTTTAATTTCATTTCATGATGTGCGTTAATTACAGCATGTCTAAACTTATGTACTATTTGTAAAAATACTTTTTTTTTTCAATATGATCTGTGTCCAGGCTGTTGGAGCCTATGCCGAACGGCGTAGCCAGTAATGGGTTAAAAGTTTCTGGTGGCGGCGAAGCCGCCACCTTACAAGAAGTTGTTGCTTCATCTTCTTATTGTATATTTTTTTATTAGATGCCCGCGACAAAGACAAGTTCGGTTAAAGTTGGGATCCAGGTTCACTGGCTAAATTTGTTTAAAACAGAACTATTTTTAATTTCAAAATAACATCTCGCTAATAAATGGGTCAACACCTCTGCTGAATTTCAGCTCTTAATATCTAATTGTCTAGATGAGGGAATTTTTTAAAAAAATTGGCGAGACTCTTTTTTACTGAATGTATGCCCATTCAATATGAATTAAAACGTTTAATTTATCCTATTTTAAGCTTTTCTGTTTTTTGTTTTTTCGAGAATAAGGTACTATGTTCCTCTCAAACAAATTGCAGTAAACAATAGTTTTCATTTAAAGTTGGTAAACAAAATTTTAGAGAAAAACTTTTTAAACATGCTGTTCAACAAGTTTATCCCATAATTAAATATTGAAAAGATATCATCATACTTAAAAAACCAAAATATTAACGTAGCTTCCAAAACCAATAATACGCTTGGGGAAGTATATTAAAAACACTAAGGGCAAAAATAATCCCAATAATAAATCGGGAGTACCTATATAAATTAAATTGTGGTAGTTGTCCAAAATTGTATATTGTATTAACTATTATAAACAAAAATAAAACAAAAATAATTCTACTCTCTCAAATCATATTTAGTCTAAAAATCCTTCTTTTATTGAAAATTATGAAATTTTACATAGGTATTATAGAGAATAAGAACGTTAAATTAAACCACTTAGAGACACTTGAAATAAATTCAAAAATTCAGATAACCTAATAAATGATCAATTAGGTATTAATAAGTCACCTTTAACGTATGATTCATAAGTTTTGCGAACATTTCTAAGCCCAAATATTTTTAAACATAAATAACTATTCAAAAAATGTTTTTTCCCTATAACTAGGAATCTGTCTAAAAACTTTAATAATATGTAGTGACCATCCAGTGTCGTACAATTTTCGTGGCAATAGTGCCCAAAAATCTTCAATAGGGCGAGCCTGGGGTAAGTTAGGAGGGTTATCAATTTTCGGAACGTATGCAATATTCTGTTTTCTAAGCCAGTTTCTAAGCCTTGCAAAACCCTTTGTGTATGCGTCGAAGATTTGGGCAGCATCGTGGTATTCTGGCCAGATGATTATGGGTATACTTGGGACATTTTTGTCTTTTATGATTTACTTTACCACTTCTTTTTAAATTCTGCAAATTGCACTGTGAGAAATGGTATTTGCTCTGGCTTTTTTTCGTTCAGACTCGCCGACCCTGTTTTTGTTCTTCTTACTATTCTACGACACTGCTGAGGATTGAAATGACATGGTCTTCCACTTTTCGGCAGATTTTGGCATGGAATTCCCTGTTCGCAATCTGCTATGGTCCGGTATATGGTACTTACGGGTCCATCCTACTATCCGGAGGTGCGAATTTCACAAAAAAAAAAATTAAAAACAACCGGTATTATCCAATATATCTCGGTCTCGAAAAATTCGAACAATTTCAACATTAGGCATTCGCCCAACCAAATTGTAAATACTTTTTCGGATTTCAAATTTATACATTATAAGTAAAAAAAAAATTAGTCTATAAATGTCAAATTGAAGCTTAAAGACCAAACAAACTTTTGTTTCCATAGCCATCTTGTGATATCATATAAGCATTCCATAATGAGCCTTAAAAATTGTTCGCAAGACATACGTTATTAAATCTCTTAACCTGTTCTTAGTGTTCTGTAAGATAATCCCGGTAATGATAATAACTTATTTGAATTTTATTAACATATTTCTTGAGTACTTTAACTAGTGTTTGTGAAAATCTACCAAGTTTGGTTTTTCTCATTTTCATCAACTAAAGAAATGATGTATTATAGGTAAACTCGTATATCATTTTGATATCCAATAGGAAAATATATAAATATGTACCTGTTGTCTTCCTAATTTCTTTCTCCCTTTGTTTTTTTTTTAAAGTACCTGTTGGTTGTCGGTTGCGAACGAATTTGAATGTCATTACGTTTTACGATTGTCATCTCGTACTCGGGCCGTTTTGTGTTTGCGCGATCGGCATTCAAGATCCCTTTTTCGAACTTGGTCTTAATTTTATCATAATATCACAAGCCAGCCGGCTGATTTGAATACTTGAAATATCTCCTTATAAATGAAGTATTTGAAAGGAACTGGTTAGATCAAAGGCGGCAAGACCAGGACCGACTTTTAATTATTTATACATTTATTTTAATAGACGCGTTCGACATTTGGATATTTCTTGAATTTGTTTGTTAGTCGGCGTGGTTTGTCTATAATTGCGGCAACTAATAGAAGTACTTTTTGATTTATACCTTCAATTTCAGGAACATTTCATCTATTTATGGTTTTTAAACATTATTATTGAATTTTTGTATTGTTTTCTTGGGATTTATAGTTTATTTGAAAATGAATGATAGCAAAATTTTTATGACCCAGGAGATAATCCCCAATATAACATCATAAATCAGTGACGGAGAATTTCTAAAATAAAATATTTAACATTATTTGTTCCAAAATAAAATCTTTGGTTTTCTTCCTAAAATTTTTAAGAATACCAATTTATTTCAATTCTTGTCTTAAATTTTCTAGTCATTTAAATCAACAAAAATAAGGTAAGAATGTAATCGCTACAGGTAGAAAATATTTATAATTCAAGATTAATTTTAGTGTTATGCCGATTGTAAATTATTTTAGTTAAGATTTACATTTCTGTTTGTATAGTCCTGTGATTGTAACACGCAGAATTGTTAATTCTGTAATAATAGGCGATAAAAAGCGATATTGATCAAATGAATTTGTGCAATAAAAAACAAACAAATTTATATGAAATTTCTATAAACGAAATATGAGTGTTTTATGAGAAAATATTTTTTGCAAAGATTTTTTTTTAGTAAATCATATTAATTTGGTTGTGTATATATTATTAAATTTTAAGAAAATGTCCTAACCTAATACATAGTGTACTGTTTTTATAAAAATAAATGGAGGTACTTAACCCGTAACTACAGACATGAAACTTTAATCACACTGCCATAGTTGTGACGTCTCCTAGACACCTTTTTTCTTTTTACAATTAACAATTTTTTTTAATAAAATTTTAAATTTTCGATATATCAGTAGTGTACAACAATGATTTAAAGTGTGATTTAAGGGGTTTCTATTTTTGAATACGATAACAATAAAATTTAATTGTTTAATTTATTAACAAAATGGTAGACATTCTTAAAAATAACAGGAAGTTAAAAAATCACAAAAAAAACAAATAATACAAAACATAAAAATATTTACTCAACGAGATATCAAAATATAAACATAAATGATTTAAAAAACCAACATTTGCCATATAAACTGTGTTCTTTATAATATAAATAAAACTACAATTTTGCAGAAAAACTGTATAGAGTTCGGTCTATGTTTTGAATTTTCTTCAGTGCTCTTCTATTTTAGTTATTATTTTTGTTTTGTTTGTTATTAGTAAGACATTTTTAAGTATTTTTTATCTTACCCCGATATTTAAGATATACGGAATTGATATCACTGTTGGCAATGATTAACATGAACGGGGCGCTGTGTGCTGCGAAAGGTATTCAGAAAATCAATCATATGTCCCCAGTAGTAAAGGCCCTGGCGCCCTGGTTATGATTTAAGTGCGTGACCGAACTCATACATCTCGGAGCCCACTTAGAACGTAGAATGAATGGAAGAATGCATGAGAAGGAATAGGGCATCCAAATGTTGGTAAAATAAGCAATCTAAGTGCTTCCATGTGAACCCCAGAGGAGAGAAAACAGGCTGGACCCAACCCTGACTGTAGAGATCAGCAGGATTCCTTCAGAGGGGAGAGTGAAAAAAATGGACACTAGTGTCTAACTCACTATTAACATGTCAATATGGTGCATTGGGGAATTGAGAGCATAAGGGAATTAGTATCACCGGATAAAGTGACAGATGACGTATTTTACAGTAGGCTAGTGATATGACAGACATCGTCCAAAAGGATGCTAGCATTGAACATTGAATCAATTGGAATAAGGTAAAGAGCATTAAATATTAAATGACATAGATGTAATAAATAACGACAGAACATGCGCAGTAGTATCCTCAAAAGGCACCAATGCCTATCTTCCTCATTGTTAGTCCGATTTGTATGTACCAAGCCAAAGACAGGAATCTCACTGAGCTTAGGTAAACATGCGACAGTATTCCAGGCAGAAATAGCAGCAATACATCACTGCGCAAAAGAAGTATTAAGACAGAAGGTAAATGGAAAAACCATTGTCATATACTCAGACAGTCAAGCGACGTTAAAAGCACTCAGTTCCATACAGGTATACTCAAAGCTTGTGTGGGACTGTTTGGAAGCCCTAAGAGAGCTGGGTAGTCAAAACAGACTAACCTTAGCCTGGGTACCAGGCCACAGGGGATACAAGGGTAATGAAGAGGCTGATTTACTAGCCCGAGAAGCAGCCTCAAATGCTCTTATTGGCCCAGAACCTGTGGTGTAACAAAAACAACTATCAGAACATGCACAAAGCAGTGGATGTTTAAAAAATCTCAGGAGTGGTGGAAAAACTCACCAGGACAGAGACAGGCCAAAAAGTTCTTAAAAGGACCATCGTCTAAACTCACCGAGCATCTACTAAGCCTTAATGGGAAAAATACTAGAATACTAGTAGGTCTATTAACAGAGCATTGTAGGCTTAACAAACATATGTTCAATATCGGTCTGACAGAAGAGGCCTTGTGCCGATTCTGTCAAGAAAAAGGGGAAACGGCAGAACACGTATTGTGCTACTGCGAAGGTCTAGTAAGACTGAGATTCCTTACACTTGGAGAAGAAAAACCAAGGGCAACTAGCTATACCGGAGAACTACTTCCCAGTCTATGGAGTCTACTACAAAAGACCGAATTAGACAAGGTACTCTAAACAATGATTAAAGGATATCCACAATAGATCTGAAAGGTCGAGGTGGAGGAGGCCACATGGCCCATAGTCCTAATTAAATCTTATCGTATCTTATGGTATAAACGATATTCAATATGAAAAGTCATATAGATGAAATAAATAATAACAAAAACATGCGCAGTAGCATTATATACCACTCGTTGTGCCTTATTGACGCTTTTTTGAATTTATATCTACGATTCTCATCATTTTTGAATATGTATTGTGATACGACATGCTAATAATGAATCTGTCATTCAAACGTCATTTTAAAATTAGACATTCCAAACAAAATGGTTGCCCGTAGGTAATGACAGGCCACTAAAAGGAACATGATATGGCATCACTGTGGGCCTGATAATTTGACGGGGTCAATGATATAGATAGTCATATAGATTGATCATCCATGTTTTAAAAAATAAACATAAGCTTATCGTTGAAGTAAAAACCGATTCAAATTAATGAGGTAATACAGAAGCTTGCAAACGACTTGCTTTGAGCAATCTATATAATTATATATGCATTGATAACAGGCCCACAATGTTGCCATATCTAAACTGTCAGTTCCCACTGGTAGCATTTTGACAGGTCTTTGGAATGCTTAAGTGATGAGATAGAAAGACGTACATTAAGTCAAATAAAATGGTGGAATGTTAACTTTTGAAACATCGAGAAATCATTGAAAAAATTATACATATCTTTCCTTTAGTTTCAATCATCTTAAATCTGTTCATTTTAATAATAGGAAAAAATTGCTTTAAAACTTTTATCTAGAGCTTTTTTCTAGCAATAAACTATTTTGAATAATCCTAAAAACATTTTATTTTATTTTTTTAATCCGTTTTCGGGAAATGACAACAAAAATTCTTCCATTCATCGTTTTCAAAATACTTCAAAGTAACTTATATTAAAAATTCATGTATTTCTATTTTTTAATTTATTGTCAAGTTGTAAATACTTACATCAAAGATTAAAATTCAAAAGCAGTCGAGCAAATAAGAGACCGCGATTCCGGAGTCAAAACTGATGAACCAGATGTTTCTTTGATCTATTGCCACATTTATATGTTCTCGGGGGCACTATCATTATAACCTCTTAATGATTTAACCTGAGGGCAGGTATTAAATTATCATTATGCCCGTTCACGAATGTGTTTTCTAAGAATTTAGTTGTAAATTAATTATTCAACAAAAAAAGTTCGTAATGAGGAATATTCATAATTTCCAGAAACTGTAAGCAATATACAATAAATTAATAGATTTATTCAATAGCCCGTTTCTTTTAAGATAAAACAGAAGGTATAACTTCGTTTGTTATTGTTTTGTTGTTTTTTAAAGTCATACTTTTTTTTAAAACAATAAGTGTTGACAGATTTAGGCCAGGCTAGTATCAGTACACTGGATCTTCCTTTTTTTTTGTATAAAAAACTATCTAACGCAATCCTGATAATTTTCGTTCAATTTATCCTTTACGAGGGTTGATCTCTTTGTGCCACCTCTGACTCATTTATAAATCTTTACGTCGCATTGTAACCTGTTACGTATAGACTCATACTAGAATGTAAAAAAGTACACTAAAGACGTAATTTGCACGCCATAATATTCATAATAAAAACTATTAATTAACTAAGTTGGCGATAGATG